TTCCTCGGCCCGAAGCCCACCATATGGACGGACGGCTACCTAGCAAACCAGGCTGGGGTTTGGCAGGAATGGGGATCTTCCAGAGTGGAGACGGTAGGCTCCGAAATGCAATTGCTGGGGATGGGGAAGGTCCAGGCTGGTCAGGGAGTGGTCAGGATAAGAGGCTGGGGACAGGATGGAGTCGGTGTTCTGAGAGCTGGCGACCTCAGCAGAGCCATCTGCCCCTGCTGTGGCTTCGACCCTCACAGCTGCTGCGCGGGAGGAACGTCGGCCGGCGCGCAGGACCCTCACCTCGCACGTCCGCCGCCAGCGCTCGCCAGGTGGGCGCATAGCCGATGCAGTGGCCGCACCACGACGAATGGAACTGCACTAGCCACGCGGCCGAGCTGTTGCCCGTGGCCGAGCGCACGCTGCCGCTGTCCAGCAGCCATACGGCGTCCTCGCCCACGCGGTACAGCCGCGCCGCGCCGCCCTCCCGGGGCCCCACCGCCGCCGCCGCCGCCAGCAGCAGGAGCAGCCGCGCGGCCCGAAGACAGGGCGGCCCCCGCGCTTCAGCTCCGGGACCGCGCGCCACAGCCCGGGCCGCCGCCATGTTGGGAGTGCCGCCGGCGCGCCGACCTTTCACCCTGGCAACCGCCGTCACGTGCTTGCGCGCGCCGGTCCCGCCCCGTGAAATTGGCCCCGCCCCCAAATTAGCTAGTCAGCTCAAGCACCACCCCTCGTTCTTCTCGCCCCGCCCCCGTGATCTGGTTCCACCCCGAGTTCTGGTCATTCCAGGTCCGACCTTGCTCGCTCTTTTTGCCCCGCCCCCGTACACTGGCCCCGCCCCAGAATGCAGGTCCCGCCTCACTCCCTAGATCTGCTCCGCCCCCTTACTCCTGGCCCCGCCCCTGCTCTGGGTCTCTGTTGGCTCTGCCCCAAGCTTAGTTTGCTCCTGACTATAGGTACTTTTTAACTGAGAAGCCTGGGCCAGATTTAGCAGGGCGAAATAGCTCATGCCAAGTTGAATGTGAAGTTGAGTTTCAGCCTGAAATGCATATTTAATTGGGCATAAATAGACTCAGACACTATTCTCTATGTACCTGAAATTCATATGTAACATGCATCCTGGATTTTACAAGCAACCTGTGATTTTATCTGTCAACATCAAATGTCCATGATGATCACCTTGACCATTTTATAACCCAGAGGATGTGGTAGAGCCACAGGGCAAAGTCAGACGACGTCCTGCTAAGATTGTAGAAGGGAGAAGTAGACCTTTTTTTTTAGATAGGGTTCTAAGGCTGGTATGGAACTCACTATATAGCTGAGTCTGATCTTGAACTCTCTGTCCTGCCTCCTTAGCTCTGGGATTACAGATGTGTACCATCATGCCTGGCTTCTCCAATCACTTAGTCTACTTTCCTATGCTAACATTCTGCTCTGCCAAACACTAGAGAGAACATACAATCCAAGTCAAGCCCTGGTGCCCAGGGTTGTGTAGATCAAGAGAGCAAGCGTTGGGGACTGTTGTGCATATAACAGCATGGAGGCATCTCTTGGAAAGTTACTAGGTTGAGGAGAGGGGCTAGAGGAACATGTACAAAGTTCCTGATGTAAAATGAAGGCTGCTGAGCCCTTGGGAGACATAGGGAGTGAGGAGCTGGTTATGGTTGGAGCAGAGCATACTAGGGCCAGAGCAGAAGTAAAGAGAAGTGCCCCCAATGACACCATGATGAGGGGTGATGGATGCCTGTGACTGTGGATTTGAGGGCATGAGGATGGGATCCCTGCATATCCCCATGAGAGATGGAGCAGGGCTTAGAACTCTGGCACCCACAGACCACAGGTTGGCTATTATCATCATCAGAGACCTAACTGTGTCATTCTGTAACCTGGAAGGACACAGCTGAGGGCAAAACCTTCATGCAGGTGAGCCATAGGGTCAGGAAAAGGCTGGTGTGTGTACATGCATACATGTGTCCGATTTTCCAAAGCCTGCAGTCTCATTTTACAGACACCATGGCTGGCTCCTAGTTGGGTTCTGGAAGCATAGAATGGAGGGCTGTGGGGATTGCTTGAGACAAAGGGAGAGAGACAGTGGTTGGGAGACAATACAGAGAATCTGTTTGGTGTTTAATGGCCCCCAAAGGGTGGGTAAGCAGGACCAGGAACCACAGAGACTGATATGGAAGCTGCCCTGGGAAGCAGGCAGGAGAGGACCGGCTGCTTGTGCCTGAGTTGGTGTGTAGGAACGATCTGGACAAGGCCTGCCTGAGGCAGGAGAGCCTGAGCTTCAGGTCCCAACTCTACCCAGAAGGCAAGAAGTTCTGAGGCAGGCAGGGTGGGATGGGGAAACCCATGGGGGTATGAGGAAGGGATTCTGGAGTCTGGCTGAAGCCTCTCTCCAGCTGACAATCAAGAATTCCAATGCAATTAACATTTGCTGACACAGACATAACATTTTTCAAATAAGGATGTTAAAGTAGCAGTAAGCCATGTTTGAGTGTTCTCAGCCTAAACCTGCAAGTTTCTAGGAATCTCACAAGGAACCCCATTTACAAGAAAAGATGTGTCTTAAACCCCTTGTGGCCCGAGGTCTTATTTTTAACAGATTGTAATCCCACCCAGAGTGCCATCAGAACCATCCTATAATCTCACTTATTGAAAGGGGGAACGAGAGAAAGGGAGAATCCCGTAGGAACCTGTTGAGCAAGAAACTCTGACAGCTTCCAAAACCCTATTACAGCTATTGCTAAACCACTTAGGTATGACTCTCCTTTGAGAAGCCAACACCCAGGCTTAGGTGTGCCCTATTCTTTCTCTGAGCATTTCTCTATTAAATCACTCCGATGAAGTTTTTATTACTTCCTAATGAACTCCACTACCATCAGGCTAATCCTGAAATTCTTATCTATGGCAAAGTCAAGAATCTGGTGTTTTCTGGATGGAAATCGTTGAAGGACAAGGAGACTCCTCGGGTTGCTGAGGACCACATGGGTTGTGTCCATTGCTGCAACTGTGTCTCACTGATGATAAGTCCACTCTACTCCCAGCCCACAGCAACTAGACCCCAGGGCTCAGTCGAGAGGCACAGTGAGAATACTCCATGATCCTGGGAGTATATGTCTCTCATCCACTTGTTTTTATAAGAGTGGCTGTCATGGTGGAGAAGGGCATGAAATCCTAGGGGCTTGGGAAAGCTGGGTGACAGTTTGGCATGTGGAAAGTTGAAAGCATGGTCTAAGGGGACTGCTTAGCAGGGCACTGACAGAGACAGATCACAGGAAAATCAAAGGTACAGGTTAACAGAGAAATAACTATTTTTTCTATGAAAAAATAATGACTTCTCTTGAGGCTCATGTCAAGATTTATTGGCCCAAGTGGTTACAAAGGATCAGAACCAGGGCGGGTACAGCCTGAGACCTTGGAGGGAGGGACCTTGGGCTGAAGCCTCACCAGGGTCAATATGTCTGAATGCCAAAGCGCTCTGCTCGCACACATGCTAGCTAGATAAAGCATGTCTAGCACTTTCTGTGGATATACTTTCTCTCCGCCCACAAGAGTAATTTCATGGCTTGGCTCCTGCAGCTACAGCAGTCTTCAGAAAGCCTGACCTGATTCTCATTAGTTTCCCATCACCAGCTTCCCTTCAAGGACACTGTGCCAAGGCTAAAGCATGCTGCACCTGCTCTGTACCCAGGGGAGGTGGCTCTGGGGAGATCCTGGCTGTATTGTGTGTATAGCCCTAATGTGCCTAGCTTTCAGCACCAACCCCCATGAAACTAAGACTGGGCAGGAGCAAGGGGCTGCTGTGGAATTTGAGGCAAATTTGCAAGGTTTTGATGGGGGAGATTTATTGCCATGCCAAACATGTGTGTGTAAAATACATAATTCCTCTCACTCAGCCTCATAAATCCAAAGAGGTTAGCAATAAATAGAAAAAAAAAAACAAGTAAAAAATTACAGAATAATTCATTCCAAAAAACCACAGGGCAGTCAATAGGAAAGCTGTAGGTCAGAAATGTGTCTTAAAATTATATACACCAAAGAGTGTATATTCCCTGACTGGACCAAGCCTCTTCTGTGCTCTGGCACCAGCTGGGAAACCTGGTGCAGGATCTTAGCTGGCAGATCCCTGGAGCCAAGTATTCGCTGGGCCTACTGCACAAAAGTTGGCTTGCTGAGAGCCCATTGGAGCTAAGAGGCTGGGATGCCCCTGAGGCCAAGTTAACTGTGAGTCTGCAAGGGGCTGTTGGGAAAGGGATTCTACTTCATAGCAGGGGCCCAAAGGAATTGTAAGTGGCCTGGAAACCATCACCAAAGCATGCAGCAGAGGCAGGACAGATCTGATGGCTTAGCAGCAAAGGGCTGTCCCATTCCACCTGCCTGTTAAATTTGGGTTCCCCAGAGGCCATAAGCTATCTCCCCAGAGGAGATAATGCCTTACAGTTGGGCGTCTGAGCATGGGTGGGAGAAGCCAAGCCCTGGATGGATCAGCCTTGGACTCACATGTCCCTAAGCCTAGCAGGATGCTCATCTATCAATAATCCGCACCCACAAGGGGCCTTCTCATTCAAGAAATAACTAGTTGCACAATTTTGTGACTGTATTAAAAGTCACTAATATGTACATTTTTAAAAGAAAACTATGATATGTGGATTATAATCAATAAAATTTGATTAGAAGCCTGTCAGTTGTGATGCATGCCTTTAATCCCAGCACTTCAAGAGCCTGATAGAAAGTGGATACTCTGACCAAGGAAATACAGACACAGCCATCCTGTAATGGACATGAGAGAATCTCACCCATGACTGTCAAACATAGGTGAACATTGGACATTTATAGGCTGAGACAAGGGCAGATCTCTGTGAGTTCAAGGCCAGCCTTGTCTATAGAATGAGTCCCAAGACAGTTAGGGTTGTTACACAGAGAAACCCTGTCTTGAGAAAAGAAAAAAAAAAAAAACACAAAGACAAAAAAATTTTTTTAAAGCCATTTAATTAGAAGAGTCTGGAGAGATGGCTCAGCAGTTAAGAGTATCTGTTGCTTTTGAAGACCAGGATTTGATTCCCAGCACCCACGTGGTGGCTCACAGCTATTTGTGACTCCAGGGATGCAAACCCTCTTCTGACCTCTGCAGGTACCAAGGCACACTCATGGTGCACAAACATTCATGTAGACAAAATAGTCACACACATAAAATAAAAATAATCCTTTGTGAAAAAAGTTTTAAAAGGAGATCAGATGGGCAGGGGTGGTGGTGGGCGGGGGACGGGACTCAAAGGAGAGCACTTCACTAGCTCTATACTAGGCCCTATATTCCATCCCCGACACTGGAAAAAAGTGTTAAAAATGTAAAATGAGCCGGGCGGTGGTGGCGCACGCCTTTAAGCCCAGCACTCAGGAGGCAGAGCCAGGCGGATCTCTGTGAGTTCGAGGCCAGCCTGGGCTACCAAGTGAGTCCCAGGAAAGGCGCAAAGCTACACAGAGAAACCCTGTCTCAAAAAAACAAAAAAAAACACACACAAAAAAAATGTAAAATGGCTGAGCACGGTAATGCAGGCCTGCACTACTCAGGAGGCTGAAAAAGGAGGATTGCAAGTTCGAGATTGCTTGGGCTAGAGTGAATTCAAGGTCAGCCTGGTAGAGGCAAGCCAGTAAGAACCTGTCCCTCCAGGTCTTGGTTTCTCTCTCCAGGTGCTGAGAAAAAGTAAGAGGGAAGTATTGGTGCTTGCTGCTAAACCTGATGACCTGAGTTTGATCCACAACCCCCACATGGTGGGAGGAGAGAACTGACTGCCAGTTCTTCTATGACCACACACAGACGCTGCGGCACCCATACACATACAAGAAAATGAATGTTAAAACAAATAAGTGAACAGGGGCTGGAGACGTAGTTCAACGTTAGCATGTTTTCCTAGTTTGTGCTAAGCCTTGGCCCAAGCCTCAACACTGGTTGGCAGGGGGATATCTTGGTATATATAGAAGTATAAAAATGAAAATAAAAAACCACTTTCTAAAGATAATCTCTTCATATTTTAGACTTTACTCAAGTATTTTTTTAATTTTTAAAAACTGATATATAAAACAAAAACACACATATTACCTAGCCACCACATGAACTGTTCAACTTCTTTTATGTGTGTAATTTCCCATGATACTGAACTAAACACCAACTCAGTGACCCAGACTCTTCGTGGAGATAAACCAATTTCATCAGCACAGATTATTCATAAGCATAGTGTTTAAGGATTAAAATAAGATGTGAGCAAGACTGAGGGAAAGAAGGGGAGTTGGAGAGGAAGGGAGAAAGGACAGGGCAGAGGATGAATACAGTCAAAGTACATGATGCACTTGGGAGACAATGTCTTTATGAGACCCAGCAAAAGAACAGTGAATATACATCAATAAACAAGAAATTAAAACAAAAGGATGGATGATAGATGATTAGATACGCACACCCATGTATATACAAACATGCACACACTGTACACATACATGTGCACACACATGCTGATTTAAGGCAAGCAACCTCTGGGGGTTCTAACCATGTATGTGAGCTCCATCCCATGAGATCCTGCCCAAGCCTGATTCAGAAAACAGATTCAAAAGCTGCTTCTTCCGAAAGACTTCTGGGTTTGTGTTAAAGCCACTTCCTTTGAGGTGTGTGGCAGCTCATGTCTATAATCCTAGTACTCCGGAGGAAGGGTGAGGCAGAGAGATTTACATGAGTTCAAAGCTAACCTGGGTTACAGAGCAAAACCCAGTCACACACAAACACATACACACAGTGCCGCTTCCCCAGGGTACTAAAGACAAGGAGACAGAAAGCTTCACAAATCAGATGCAGCATCAGGACACTCCCACCTGCATGGGCATCTAGTCAGAGGACTCTGTGGCTTCCAGCACGAGAGCCTAGAATCCCCAAAGACAGCCCATCCCCCTAATTGCTCTGGGTCCCAGAAAAGCCTTCGTGCAGCTACAAAAGCAGAGATTTCCACTGTTGTCTGAGACTGCACCAGCACCCAGAGACTACAGTTGGTTGGGATACAGTTGTGGGGTAACACCGGGCTGCCAGGAGTGAGTGGCAGGCAGCCTGTTCTCCCTCGGGAACACACCAGAGTCCCCTGAGGGAGGTGAAGGTGGCACCTGACAGAAGTCACTGCTTTAGTGGCCTGTCCTCACCCTTATACGTGCCCCCAGTTGTTCTGTTCTCCTGGGGGACTGACTATAGGAGCCCACCCCAGGGCCACTCCACTCCCTGTAGAGATCCTGTACCCTAGGCTCCTGTGAGCCCAGCCCCCAGTTGGATGAGGCCCTTGGCTCTGCAAGCTGGTCTCATTCTTATGATTAAGCCGTTGGCTTCTTTCCACGCAGCAAATCCTGTGTGGTTGGATCAACAAGTCCTTGGATGTGTGTCCTGAGGGAAGAAGGCATTCTGGGGGAGAATGGCCACTGCTTCCTTATACAAAAGCCATCTGTGTCACCTGCCCACATTTCAAGAACCACTCTGTTCATTCTGTCCTGGAAGGCCCCCAGGGAATAAAGGAGGCCGTCTAGGCCTTTGTCTAGTCAGCCAGGCCTACAAGGGACAAGATGTCTTTTTGGACCCCAGTCACTGTGTTTCTGAGAAAATTAGTGTCCCAGCAAGCCCCATGAAAGCAAAAATATCACAAGACCAGGAGAGACCCTCAACCCCTGAGGACAAGCCCTAAGCCTTGCTTGTCAAGGGTGACCAGTTACCTGCTCCCCATCTCCACAAGATGAAAAATGTCCCTCAGCCACAAGCAATCTGTTGGAAACAGGAGACATAGCAAGATCCAGATGGGACTGAAGAGATATCTCAGTTGATTAAGCATTTGCCCGGCAAGTATGAGGACCTACATTCAGTTCCCAGAACCCATGTTCAAAAACAAACAGACGAGACAGACACCTCAGCCTGTAAAAGCACTTGCCATGCAAGCCTGGCGAGCTGAGGTTGATCCCTAGAAACCACTGCAGAAGGAACCAATTCCCAAAAGTTGTCCTCTAACCTCCACACAGGGACCATGGCATGCACACAAAATACTTTTAAAGTCAAGAGCTGGAGAGGTGGCTCAGTGGTTAAGAGCATTGGCTGCTCATCCAGAGGTCCTGAGTTCAATTCCCAGCAACCACATGGTGGCTCACAACCATCTGTAATGAGATCTGGTGCCCTCTTCTGGCCTGCACACACACATGCAGGCAGAACACTGTATACATAATAAATATTTTTTAAAAAAGAGTGTTTCCTGCTCTTCCAGAGGACCTAAGTTCAGTTCCCAGCACCCATATCAGATGGCTCTCAACCACCTTAACTCCAGTTGTGACGCCCTCTTCTGGGAATCCAAGTGCACCTGTACACATGTACACACACACACACACACACACACACACACACACACACACACACACACACACACGTACACATGTACACACACACACACACCCACCCACCAAAGGTAGGTGAACATTGGGCATTTACAGGCTGAGACAAAGCCCAGGACAGATCCATCCTACGTAGCCTTTGCTGTGCATGCCTCAATCACTGAGGTTTGGACCCTTTGAGAGTCTGATAGAAGCTAGCCTACTCTGCCCAGGGAAATGCAGACAGAGCCAGCCTGTAATAGGCATGAGAGAATCTCACCCATGACTGTTGATTGTTTCAGATAACTATCCTGCCAGCCTGGTGCAGTGTGAACATTCTGTATGACAATGGGAAGACCAGGTCCCTCAAATCAGGTTCTCGTGTATACAGACAGACAGAGACAGACAGACAGACACACACACAGACAGACACACAGATACACACACACACAGTCACATGTCAGATGTCTATGCGTTCCTATCATTTCGAAGCACACCCCTAGGGGTTGTCTCCAGGGGCCAACCCTGACAGTGCAGCCAGAGAGTCACACAAGATCCTCCTGCTGAGCTGGGTGGACACCACATCCACTGGCCCAGCATCTCCTGTCCCTGGAAGATCCACACAGGTACCAGAGGCAGGGTCAAAAGCTGAGTCTCTCCTACAGAGCTCCTGTCTGTCCAACAAATCCTGGAGCTTGGGCTGGCCCTCTGTCCAGCAGCTCTGACCTTCCTTCTCCTTCTTACTAGTGTGCTTGGGGGATTCAGCCTGGCCACTGGCCACCGAGGGCCTAGGGCCCGGGGGTGGGCTTTCAGAGGGTGCAGACCAGGAGGGTGAGGATGTGGCTGCTCTTCTGTCTAAAAGACATTCTGTTCCTAGCTGGTGCTCTGCACTCTTGAAACACTGTGCTGCTTCCCAAGGTCTACCTTGACTGCCTGAGGCCTCCTCAAGGTTCTTTTGGGTCACACAAGCCACTGGGGATAGACTCAGGGGCTGAGCTGGCAGTCTTGGGGATGTCTCAGGGGCACTGACTACCCAGTTACTCAAGGGAGATGTTGAACTTGAGTCATCCAGGTTTCCATCTTGCCCAGATGCTCCTAGGCAGTGTCCTGACTTCTGGGGCCCCAGGGAAAGGGCTTCCTCCAGAGCCTCCTCAGATAAAGAGGACATGTCTTCAACAGTAATGGATGTATCCTCTCCTAGGGTGTCCAGTGAGTCACCTGGAAACATGGCCTCCTCAGGCGGGGAAGGGAAGTCTTCTGAGCTGGGGTTGGGCTCGTTGATGTCACTCTTTGCGTGAGGAGAAGGAGGTGGAAGAGGGAGGCGAGTGTCCCTGTGGATGGAGGATGGAAGGTCCCCACTGCCGTAAGATAGTTCCTCATCCACAGGAGACAGTATTTCAGTTAGGCATCCATCTACATATGACGGACTGGCTACCTCTATGACAAGGGGAGCTCTGTCCTCAGAAGGAGCCTTTAGGGTCACGGGAGCCTTAGGATCAGGCAAGGCCTGTAGGGACTTCCTCTGTATGGATGGACTAGTATCAGCATCCTGGGGTTCCCCCTGGTAGCCAGCTGAGACCTCAGTAGGCATGTTTGCTTTGCTGAGACCTGTCCTTCCAGAGGTGGAAGTGTCCAAAGGAAAGGACAGTGGCAGAGTCGAGTCACTGATAGAAGGGATCTGGGGTGGGGACACTGTGAAAGTGGCCACTGGGGACATCTGCCTGGTTTCCCCTGTATTCGATGCACCAGTCAGGCTCCTACTGGTTCTGGAAGCTTCTTGTTCTTTCCCAGGCCTGGGGGAAGGAAGGAAGGTATAGGGCCCTCCACTGCCTTCCAGGTCCAAAGAATCATTTGCAGGCAAGGAGCATCCTGAGGGTGGCTCAACACAAGGGCTGGGTTCCTCAAGGTTCTCCTCACCGTTCTCATCCCAGATTTGGCTGGAGGACTCTGACAGCTCGGACCCCAGTCTTGGGGAAGAAGCATGTGGGAACGACAATGGCCAGCCTGCCTGAGTGAAGTTGTACCCTGGCTCTGAGCTTCCTGCCACAGCTGCCTTCCCAGAGAAGCCACTCAGGAGTCTGGCCTCACTGCCTTTCAGTCTCTGCAGGGTCACTTGACCTACATCCTCAGGAAGCCCCTCCAGCTGAGGAAGTCCCTGGTGGAGGTCCCAGAATGAAGGCATGCCAGGTTTCTCCCAGGAATCATGAGCAGAAAGCTCCCTAGACCAACTGGGATCTGCAGGCAGAGTATCTTCAGCCTCCAAGTTAGACAGGGATGCAGAACTGTTAGAAAGCTGGACTAGGGTGGCTGTGGCCTTCTGAAACTCCTGGAGAGATGAACAGGAAAGGCTGCTTGCTGAGCCCGCTGAAGGGGTGAGGGATAAGGCAGGGGCTTCGGAAGACCCTGAGAAGCTACTAGAAGCAGACTCAGAACACGTGTCCAAGATGGCAGCAGGCTGGGACGGAAGGCTGTCTAGGTGCCAGGCAGGCTGGGCCTCCTCCTCACTGGCCACAGGAGCTGCTGAGATGGATTGAATTAGGGAGTGGCTCACAGTTGCCAGACCCTACATGGTAGGCTATACCAGAAGCAGTCCCAAATTGAAAAGATGTTCCAACAGAAGACACTAAAAAGGGCACTGGTACCAGTTACAACCCCTAGGTAACTGTTCCAGCCCCTTCCCTACTTGTGGGTCACACATGGCTGTCCCTGAGTGTCTGGACTCACCCTATACCACCTCAGTTGTTATTAGAGCTGGTGGTTGGCTCTGTTTGGCTTGTTTTGAAGTTTTAGACTCAGCCTGCAGCCCTGGGGGAAAGGGTCAGCAGGGTTCCCCTATCCCACGCCAGGCAGTATGGAGGACAGGGCAATATTCCTTCACAAAAGCCTCACTTTGATCTAAGAACTGGTTTTGGATAGCCTCTAAGGGAAGACTTAATGGTCTTTGAGTAGCCCTGGGGTGGCGGTAGGGGTCCTAAAGGGATGGGAGCCTCACCTAGGGAAGCAGCCTTCTGGTCAGCTTCCAGGTGGGTGGAGGGGATGTCCGGGTTCTCCTGTTGACAGGCTTCTCTCCTGCAAACACAGGGTGAACTCCTGGCTGCTGGGGAAGGAGTCTTGCTTCCAGTTGCCCTTGCCCCGGGGCTCACAGTCATTGACCCCCATGACACACTCTTATGAACAGCCCTGACAGTCACCCACCATTGGAAGCCACCATTGCCACACAGGGTTACCTGGGATGGGGGTGGGGGATGGGAGGGACATCTGACCACAAGTCACCTTGATCAGGTGGCAGGTGGGGACACTTCCAGAAACCTGTGTCCCCCCAGCTCCATCTTGGCCCTTCACTGGGCAACAGCTTTGATACCAAGAAGGAATCAGAGCCAGGGGTATGCAGCTGGGCACAGTCCAGGAGGGGTAGGGGAGGAGTCTAGGCATTGAGAGGTCCCAGATGCTAAGACTGTCTCCATGCCTCAGTGCCTTACCCTGCCCATGCTGCACACCTTTGCTGCTCTGACTGCCAATGCGCCTCTCCCTGGCGTTCGCCCTTGGGGCTTCGGGAAACGCCTAGCCCTTGATTTATTCTGTTTTCAGCCTCCTGCAGGAAACACATTGGAAAAGTAAGATATCCATTAGACCCTCTCCCACCTCCTCCACTGGGGATCAAGGGCTGTGCTTCCTGAGACTAAAGGGACCCTTGAAGAGGGCCCCAAAGATCCCAATCATCACATCTCCTTCCTCCCTGGGAAGACTTTCTTTCTGCCCAAGCGTTGAGTGTGAGGGGAGACCCATAGAACCCGCACGCTGCAGAACCGTATGAACTGCCTGGAACGCCCTCTGAGCCCTCCTCCTGTGACAGCCTCCTGTGATGTACAAGGCAGCCCCTGGAGGCCCCCCAGCAGGCCAGTGCCCCCATAGCCTGCAGACGGCACATGGCCACACCCTGACTCACTCTGGCTTCCTCAGGACAAGGACCATCTCCACTTAGGGACTGCCCACACTGTCCATGCAAGCTCCAAGCATGGCTGTCTGTGGGCTGTCTCTCCACTGCCCAGGCTGCGCTGGGCTTGGTCTGTAGGTCGCCTGTGGGACAAGCAGACTGTGAATGCTGGCATGTATAGATGCAGGGGGGCAAAGGAGTGGCTCCCAGAAAAAACATCTGAAAATTCAAAAGGGATGCGAGACTTGACTGTGGCATTTGATTAGTGTGAGCACCTAAAAGATGTGATTGTGTTCCCCAAATTATCCTGTTGGATAATTAGTGATGTGAAGTCCTGGGGGAAAAGCACATGGAAAAACCATTTTAAATTTATATCCCTATTGTCAGGTGGGTGGTACACACTTTAACACAAGCACTTGGGAGGCAAAGGCAGGCTGATCTCTAGGAGTTCCAGGCCAACCTGGTTTACAGCCTTGTCTCAGAAAACAAAAACTTATAGCCCTCATTCCCTCCTTTGGGGAACCTCCCACAAGTGGCTGGGAACCCTCGCCAGAGCTGTTCCTTTCCTTGTCTCAGCACTATGCTGAGGCCCTCTAGCACTGTGAGGGGCATGGGCACTCAGGTAAGGGTAGGCCTTGGACATGGCATGGTCTTTCATAGCAAGCTAAAAGGCCAGACAAGTGGCCCAAAGCAGGGCCCAGCAGAGCCAGATTATACCTCTATACTCCTAGATCTGAGTCCTGCCTGGACCCTGGTAGACTGTTGGGATCCTGAGGCCCAAGGCCACTGGCCTATGGGACCAGAGCTATGGTGCCTTAAGCTCTCATCCAGAGCCCAGGATGAAGGCTGAGGTGGCAGGGTCATTGCAGGAAGGACCCTGGACTTCTCTAATGGTCACGCCGGGGTGTTCCCAAGAACCTTGCAGGAGCCATCTTCTGACTAGGGAGCGGCTAGCACTGGGTCATCAGACAGATGCATCATGGACCATCACTAACAAGCTCCACCATCACAGTCTAGGTACTTCAGTTCTCAGGCCCCAGGCTCTTCACCTGCAGGGTGGGTAATGAGCATACTCACCTCAAGTGACAACAAGGTCCCTGAGTGTGGTCTAAGTACTGGCTGACTTCAGTACCCACTGAAGTACACATGTGACAGCTAGTACACTCATGGTGAGGGGCATCAGGCCTAACAAATGTCCACAGAGCCCTAACAACAGCCAAGAGAGGTGTGACTCCAGCAGATGGGAAAGCCATGGAAATGGGCTCTGCGTGCCCCCTGCTCACCATTACCTTTGGACCCCTGGGAACCCCATCTGTCCTAACTCTCCTGGATAATCTTAATGCACTGGGAAGGTCTTGCTTCTTCTTATCCTAACTGACTTGGAATTCACTCTCTTGGGCCCCTAATGAGGAAAGTGGCTTGGTTCCGCACAGTCTGACAAGATTTGGCATCCCTCTTGCTTCTGAGGGTAGATGCTGAGTAGGGGGTGGAGGGATGGAGCTTCTGAACCCAGGGCGGTGACCCAGGAGTGGGGAACTCAGAGGTGGCACCAACTCACTGTGAGCCAGCCAGGCCAGCCAGGTCAATCCCTCAATGTCAGGCCCAGGGCAACCCCCAGAGAGAGAACTGGACTCTCCTACCCCACCCCCAAGATCAGTTCTGCCCTCAGGGAGGCCTCAGGGCCAAGTGCATGGTTCAGAAAATGGAGAATTTGATTTGTGTAAATCTGTGGTGTCTGTTAATAAGGATGCTTCTGACGGTGCTGGTTTCTAAGCTCTTGGAAATGTCTAGATAAACCAAGCTACAGCTAAAACAACTAGACCAAGTATTGTCTTTAATGCCCCCAGAGGAAGCAGCCAAATTATCTCCCACATGCAACGGAGTCAGCCAGTCTTCTACCATGAAGGGTCTTTGGTCACAGCAGGGGGTCATGTGCATCCATCCTCTTCGACTTCTCCCTGGGGACCTCCCTGTCCTTGCTTGACCGCTGGATACCAGCCTTGGACAGGGTCCACTGGATGTGGGGGAAGCTCCTGGAAAGATCCAGACAGGGATGGCCCACAGACTGTTTCCAGGGCATTACCTGGAGGAGGCGGTTCTTTGGCCTCCTGTGGCTTCAGCTGAGAGGCTGGGCTGCCATCTTTCTTGATGATCTGCATCAACAAGATAGAAGGAAAGATATACCCAGAGTCTGGGAGCCACCTGGGGACAGAACTCCGAGGACTAAGATGGCCAGGAGCCACCAGTACCACGGGTGCTAGCACATGGGCACCCAGGAGTCCCAACCAAGATCAAGCTGCAGACTGGCAGAATGGTAGGGGAGGTTTTCCAAACCAGCAGGGCTGGGGAGAGGGGCTCCCTAAGGGTTGCATACATGAAAGGCTGGGTGTTTCTGATGTTCAGGGTCCAGAGAGCTCGAGTGCAGCAGACCAGGGGGAGAGACGTAAGGCTGTTTTCCAGGTCCTGAAAGACACAATTCCTGGGGTCACTCATACTGTCCAGCCTCTGTAGAACCCCAGACGTAAGACGCATCACACAGCTTGCTGCTTTGGAGGTTAGGTGAGGCATTCTACTGCTTTCCCCATCTCTAAGGACCAGAGTTCCACACAGCCTAGGGCCCCCACTGCTGCTCTAACACTCTCCCCTCCACACCTGCCTTATGTTCGGGTCATAATGCTGAATGGTACTCTGCCCCCATGCCCAAACCTCTTCAGCATCCCTGACCATAGATGCTAGTGTCCGAAGGGGGCCAGCTCCACCCTGTGTCCCCCACACTGTGTGCCTAGGTACTCTGGGGTCTAAAGACAGTGTGCTCAACGCATAACCTGCAAACCTGGGGATAAGACCATATTTGTAAGAGGGCCATTGCAGATATAGTTATGAATCTCTAGACAAGCTCATCTTAGAGTTGGGCAGGTCCTAACTCTACAAAAGATGGGAGAGGAATTGGACACAGGAGAAAAGAGACAGGCACAGAGAGGCAGAGACTAGAGACAACCTTAGATTTAGGGACATCTGGAGCCAAAAGGAGCTAGAAGAGCCTTGCCCTGGAGCCTTTGGAGAGAACATAGATTTCCCACTTCTGGTCTCCAGAATTGGGGGGGGGCATACATTTGTTTGAGCATCTACTTTGCAGAATTCTATTGTGGCGGCCTCCAGAAATGAAAATGACATTGATCTCAACATAGAGAAAGACTAAGGTCAGGGAGCGGGGAACATCCTTCCTTCAACAGGGATGGAGGCAGAATGAGGCACAGGCCGAGCAGTCACACCAGCAGCCCATGGGCTGATGGAGGCAGAGTGTGCTGGAGGCAGCACCCTCACTTTCCTGGATTCCTACTAGTGGGACAGAGAGCAAACCTGCCAGGCCTTGGTGAGATGGGGACAGCCAGGAATCATGATAGACTGCTTCTGCTAAGGTTTCTGCCTGGGGGTTCTGCCCTGAACCAGGAAAACGAACTCCTTTATGCCAGGGAAGGGCATGTTCAGTCCTGATCCTTGCCTGGCAGCAGGGGGACATGGCCAGGTCTTGCTACTTTGACAGGTTTGTGTTCTGACCTGCCTATGGACAGCCCCAGGCTTGCACTGACTGGCAGGCCACATCAGCTCTGAGCAGCTGCCCCTGCCAGGAGCCCTCTGCAGCAGGAGAGGCTGTCGGGGCAGCTCCCTGTGGCACCCCATGTTCTGTGTGTCTCCGAGTATTTCGAGGGGCAGGCCTCCTGTGGGCCAGCCCAATGGGCACTCCGCTGTAACTCAGATGTGCCCACGGAGGCCTGGGTAATCCAGGTCACACACTGGCCTGGTGGCCTGGTAGGCAGGACTGTCTCAGCCTAAGCTTAATGCTGAAACCACAGAAGGCTGGGGCCGACCGATCGAGTGATTGTCTGTTCTTGGCTGGGCACTACCACTGCCCTGAACTACCTTGGTTGTCATGTCCACTCTCCACAGGTGGGCTTCCAGTCCCAGGAGTCATATCTGCCCACTTCAGCCTCCGAGGCTGCAGGTGCTCATCTGCAACTGGAGTTGTCTGGGGAGGTTTCCCTTCCTTCTGCTCAGGGAGGCTGCAGGGCAACACACAGCAGAACAGATGTGAGTACACACCCCACTGTTCCACCCAGGGTGCCCATCCCTGACCGCAACACTCAGCAAGCCCTTGTCTCTAGAACCACCCTGAGCCACATCCAGGGGCAGCTGTGGCCAGCTGTTCACTCAGCAGCTTCCCAAGCAGGGCCTGTGCCTCCAATGGCGGAGTGGCTATGGGGCCTAGGAGCCTCTGATCCTTCACCTTGTTGCCTGGGCCCACCATGTGAACCAGCCAGCCTGCCTCTTAGTACCCTGGGGAAACTCTAGAGGTTCAAAAGGAAGGGTTCTGCCTGAGGGCAGCTTCCGAGCCGAGCCCCAGCACTTTCACCAGCATCAAGTGCTATCGACCAAGTTCATGGCCAGGAATAGGCATGCTATCCTGGCCCAGCCTGCACCCAGCTGACAGGTGCAGAGAGGAGGGCACAGAGGGACTGTTCTTGCCAAGGTTGGCGAGAGGTACCAGAGAAAGCTCTAGAAAAATCTCCCCTCTTACAAGCCAGCCTGAGGCACTTGATTCATAGAGGTGAGCTTATTCAATTCCCACCCCCATCCTCAAGGTGGAGGGGGGAAGCCCAGGAACTAATGGCTAGGGCCTGGGTGGTGATAGCCTCCCCAGGGCTGGTAGTGGGGACCTGAGGAAGAGGGGATGCCAGGATGAGAACCGCCTCCAGATCACCCTACCCCGACAGTGCTGCGGCAGGGTGGAACAGTGTTTACTTTTGTGGAATATCATTTTAACTAGGTAAGATGTGTTACATTTGTTTCTGCTGCATTTGTTTAACGATGTAAAGATGTGTTGCTCTGCCTGCCTACAGCACCTGATTGGTCTATAAAAAGCTGAACGGCCAATAGCTAGGCAGCAAAGGGATAGGCAGGGCTGGAGGGCAGAGAGAACAGAGAGGGAAGAGAATGAGAGAAAAAAAAGGGAGATTCCTGGGGCTGGCCAGTCAGCCAGGCAGCTGCCAGCCAGGCACAGAAAAAGCAGCGACATATAGAATGAAAGGTAAAAGCCCCGAGGCAAAAACGTAGATGAAGAGAAACAGGGTAAATAAAGTTCTAAGAGCCAGTGGGACAAGCATAAGATAAGGCCAAGCACTCATTAATAAGTCTCCGTGTCATGATTTGTGGGCTGGTGGTCCAAGAAAGCCTGCTACAGTTTCCAGCATGGGGAAGCCAGGAAGGTCTTAATGGGAGAAGCCCTGCTGTTCCTTCCACCAGCCTGTGGTCAAGGGACACTCTTCATGCCCCTCCGAGCACGGGCAGGGACCTTACCCCCTTTTGCTGCAAATGGCCTTGGTGGCCAGGCCTCAGAGTCCAGCTGCTGCTGGCCATAGAACCACCCCTATAGTCCTAGAGGCTGGAGTGGTCACATACACGCCTTCTGCTGCCTTAAGCTAGGCTGTTTGTGTGCTCTTACTCCACACCCCACAGAAGCTTTAGGAAGCTCCACGTGCCCATATCCCTATCAACCACAGAGCCAGTAACTGTGGCTGCTGTTTGCTCTTCCCTGGAGCTCAGGTACGTCTGGTCCTCCCATGCCCTTCTACCCTCCCATCCTCCCGGAGCAGCTGAGTGAAATGGAACCATACAGCAGAAAGCAAATACACGAAAGGCTTGTTGTGGCAAGTGCCAGGGCCAGCTCCCCTCACTCCAACCCTGACCCACTCACTTTGCAACTTCTGAGCTCTCGGAGATTTCCTGGGGGTGGTGGCTTTGGGGGCTTCCAGGTCTATGTCCCTCTGTTTTCTGACTTGTGTCGCAGACCCCTTCCCAGGTAACCTTCATGCTGGGGCTGGAACTCTAGGAGAAATATCACAGGGCAAGCCTGGTGTGACCACATTCAGCTAGTCCCTTCTTCAGAAAAGAAGCAGGAGGCGGGTGCACATGGCAGTGGCCACCGCAGGACACCCTCAGCCCTGTAGATGGCACATTCCCACAGGAGTGGACACCAGCTGGAACAAGCTGTCCTGTCCCTTATCCCTACTGACAAACTTCTGTCCGAAGTTGCCCAGAGGCATGGAGAACTCTAGAGCCAGGCAGCCCAGAATCCCCTCTCCTGAAGGTTGGCCTATGGCAGGTGCTTCAGAGAGAAGTTCACCGATCTTTGTCCCTACCCTCAAGGTGAGGCCACTGTCCTTCTGCTTACAGAGTTATGGGGAGCACAGAGTGGCTAAGGTTCCCTTGCCCTCACGCATACGCCCTCTCAGCTGTGTGGGAGGAGCAGGAGCTCAGCTCCACGGACAGCTATTAGGTGTTTTGTCTGAGTGGCTGGCCTCTCCAGTGCACCCCATGCCTGTTAGGGACACAGAGGTCCCCACTGCTACTCAACTGCTGGCCCATCTGAGTGGTACCCTGGGCCTCCTCCAGCTAGACCATTACCCTCCCTCCCTCCCTCCCTTCTGCTAGACTCCCCACCTCCCACAGGGCCTTTCTTCTACCCTTGGTCTGTAATAACTGCCATGGCTTGGAAGTCTAAGCTCCTCCCCCAGAGTGCCTCTGCAGGGGCCCCGGCAGGTCATTTTCCCCCCCAGCACAGTCACCCAGTCCCAGACCCTTTCCACCAAGAGCGACAGGTGTGACATACAGGGGCGGGATGAAGATGCTGGGCATGCCCACCTGCAGCAGCTTGGTTCGAGCCTGGAGCTCCTGCCGCAAGTGGGCCACGGACCTCTGCACATCGAGGATAGACTGTTGATGCTGCAGGAGCTGCTTCCTGCCACGGTGCAGGGACAAGCACACCTTCTTCAGGTACTGGATTTCCCTCTGACGTTCCAAAGGAGAAAATATCCGGTTAGGACACCAGAGCAGGGAGGGGACATCCAGGGGCCTCTGCCTCTCATGCTGCCTGGCCCTCCTCTCCCCTCCCTCCTCTCCCCCCCGCCACCCCACAGGCCTTTTGCCTGACCTGCCCTGCTCAGCCTCTTAGTTACTGCTCTCCTCTGAGTTTGGTCAGGAGGTACCAGCTGGAGGCAGGAGGGAAGCTGGGGTACTTAAGCACCAAATGACTTCCACATGGAGCTGGTACAGCTTGTTTTCTCTCTCTCTCTCTCTCTCTCTCTCTCTCTCTCTCTCTGTGTGTGTGTGTGTGTGTGTGTGTGTGTGTGTGTGTGTGTGTGTGTGTGTGTTGGCCACTGCCCTGCCTCTGTAACACCCCTCTATTATAAAAGCCCCCCAAGACCTAGGAAACAGACACTGCTGTTCAGCGGGGACTTGAGCTCCCAGAGGCTAAGCTACTTGTTGCAGGCCACAGTTAGCAGGAGGCTAAGCCTGGGTTAGAACCAGGGATGTAGGGCCATGTGCTGTCCTAGATTTGCAGTCCTCTGACCACGGGCTCTTCCAGGTACCACACAGTTCTGAGCATCACTGGAGGGTGGCAAGAGCTCAAGGATGTTCTGTGGCATAGGGGTATTCTGGTCCCCCCAATGGGAGGGCTGCCGGCCTGCTTCTGGGTGACCACTCCTGGCCCATGCCTACCCGCTCCTTCTCAAGCCTGCTGAGAGCTTGTTGTTGCTTTTCCCGCAGTGTGGTCTGTGATGCTTCACGTCCTACAATCCCCAGACACCTAGGAAAGGGGAAAAGCCACAGGCAGTCTTGAGAGTCTGTTCAGAGAGAGAGAGGGAGATCCACAAAGCGGGACCGGGACGGCTCCAGCAGTCAGGTACACCTAGACATCCCCTCACAGAGCAGAGTCTGGGGGTCCCAGGGGCCTCAGCTTGGGCTGTTACTCTTCTCTCCCACCATGTTTATTATTGTCTCCTGGTCTAGGGCATGAAGGCCTGAGAGGACAGAGTCTCCCACCTGCAGACCACATCCAGGCAAGGGGTTCTCCACTGACACCAAGGACTAATCCACCCTCAGCATGTCATGCCCAGGGTGGTATCGGGCTGTGACTAGAGGAACCTTTGGAGGCCAGCGGCAGCAAGGCCTAGAGTTTTCTGGATGGGTCTCACTTATATGGAAGTCCTATGTCTAAGAATTCACTCTAAGGAAACAGTTTTTCAGTGTGCGTCATGGCAAAAAGTTGGACACACATTAAAGGCCTGTAATTGGGGACAGGCCAAGAGAAGGCTGATGATCTGCACTGCCCACCTGTTGGCGGTTATGTGGCGACGTGAGGCTTCCTGGCATGCAGCAGCATGTGAAGTGTAAGCCCCCAGTTTATGGGACACACTGGAAATACTGCAGACAGCACAGAGACAGGGACAATGGCTCCTTTCCTGCTTTAGTTTTGTTTGGGACCTTGACTATCTTACCTAAATTTCTACAGACGCCCACCGCTGCCTGGATCACGGCAGCCATCTTTCTCCATCTGTGTCCAGGTGTGGTGGTGGGGGGTACACCGACCGGGGTGGAGCAGAGCCTACCACGCAACCGGGGTGGAGCAGAGCCAGCCACAAACACGAGCTCACCCTATCTGATGCTCCAGGCAGGTCAGCTCCGCACGGGCTTTCTCCTCCAGCACCAGCTCACGCAGTCGCAGCACTGCAGCCTGGTGCTGCGCACGCAGCTCTTCGTCTCTCAGACTCTGCTCCAGCATCGCAATAGTGAAGCGGTGGAAGGTCCTGGACTTTTCTGTTCCTGGCTCTGGTCTCCCTGTGCTCCACTGCAGAGAGGAAGAGCAACCTCGTCTTGTCACTACTGGATCCTCTCAGGCTGGGAGCACTCCCAGCTCTCAGGAAGATGCCACAGACTCCAAGAAGTCCTCCCTAAATGCCCACCAGTTTACCTCCCTCCTGGTGTGCCCTTCTTGGCAAAGCACCCCTTCCTGACTGTAGGCTCCCAGAGGGGAGGCAGGGTCCTCATCATCCTGGACTCACACCCACCCCAAGCTAGGCAGGACACTTGTTTATCCTCTGTAGAGTTTTAACAAGGCAGGCTGGGCTGTGCATAGCCCTGCCCAACGCACCCTGTTGTCATGCAGGCCCTCAGCTATCACCCAGTGTGGGAGGAACAGCTGGGAAGCAACCAGCTGCAAAGATGGACAATGGGATGACAGGGTGACCCTCCCAAGACCAGGGCCAGTGGGGACCCACTACCCACCACCAGTATCATGTAGCCTTAAAATTGTGCCCCACTCTTTATACCTTGTAGGTGGGTCTATCTGAAAGGAAGAACTTGGCTAGAGCCCGCTGGGAGGGAGCTGGGTCCTGCTGCATGGGCTCCAACTTCGACGGAGAAAGCAGGCCGCGGTTGAGTCCTGAGGGAACCAGTGACATGTGCTTAGGGCTTTTCCTGCAGGAGGGCCTCACAAACGAAGTATGTCTGAGGCGGGAAAGGCTCACACTTGACCTCTGACATACAGCTTCACACCAGATCTCAAGGCAATGCTGGAACTCTTGTTCCCTAAACTGGGGCTCTGAAATGGGACCCACAGTTGCACACAGAACCAGACCAAACACAAGGTACTCAGAACAACAGCCCTTGCTCTCGCAGAAGGAGACACTGAGGCCAGAGGGGGAAGGATGTCCCAAGTCTGGCACCACGCAAGGACAGGGACACTGCAGAGTCCAGACTCCCTGCTAACCCAGCTCCCTTGTTGCTGACCCCTGTCCACCACCCTGATATGGTGGGTTTCATAGAGTAGGTTTTTTCTCCCCTCAAGACAGGATTTCTCCGTATAACAGCCCTGGCTGTCCTGGAACTCGATTTGTTCAAGGTTGGCCTTGAACTCAAAAAAGATCTGCCTCCAGAGTGCTGGGATTAAAAGCATACACCACCATGTCTGGCCCCCAAAGGCTTTTTACTTAAAAATTATTAAAGGATATTTTTGATATCGTACCAAGAAAGGACAAAAGGAACTAGACTCACCATCACATCTGAAAATGCGTGTTTTATACAGACATATTTACATACATTCTCACAGATAGGAAAGGGAATTTTTAAGACACTTGATACCAACAGCCCAGCACAGTGCTCACAGACAGATACAAAGGAGGTAAGACCAACGACGACAACAACCTCCCAAGAGAGCTAGGCTCCAGCAGAGAGAACAAATTGATGTAGGCAGATCCCCAGGAGAGGAGACAGAACTGAGTCTGGGGAGACAGACAGCTAGGGTTGATGGAATGGTATATTAGAGAGGAAACCACAAAGAGAATCCCATGATTCTATGCTTCTAATACTCAGCATCTCTGATTGTCAAGTGAGAACAGACTGGATCAGTGCAAGTTAAAAAGCATCCAGAAGGAGGCTGAGGGTTATGTGCCTTGTGACCCATGGATCACTGGGCAGCACACGGACACACTGCCTGGTTTGGGAGGTTTCATCAGCCCCAGTCTTAGTAGTGATCTGGATCCAACTGGCCAGTTACAGAAACAAGACCCAAAAGGATCAGATTAAGTCCAGTAACTACATCTGAGGTCAAAGCTTAAGAATGTGTATCTAGCTGGCGGCGGCAGCGCACGCCTTGAATCCCAGCACTCAGGAGGCAGAGCCAGGCAGATCTCTGTGAGTTCAAGGCCAGCCTGGTCTACAGAGCGAGATCCAGGACAGGCACCAAAACTACACAGAGAAACCTTGTCTTGAAAAAAAAAACATTAAAAAAGAATGTGTATATAGAGACTGTAGAGTGCTTAGCTCTAAATGGAATGGCAATATCACACCCCTCCCCTCCAGACTCAGATACTGTGAAAGAGGAGCAGAGTGATTCTAAGAGCCAGGGGTAGGTCACTACAAGGGGTCAGCGTTTCCTGGATACAACAAGGCAGTTGCACAAATGAACACAGCAGTTGATACGGCATGCACAAGATCTGTGCAAGCCCAAGCCAGACAGAATTCTAGCGTGAAGGTGGGGGAGGTGGGCAAGGAATCTAATCACTGGCCAAGTTGCCATGGGCATTTGATAGCTTCTGGGAAAGGAAGAATTGGTTTTCTTTGAAAGTGTGACCATGCATGGTAGGTTCACAAACTCTAGGGAAGGCTCCACGTCCTGGAGGGCACAAATTAGACTCTGTGTGTGTGTGTGTGTGTGTGTGTGTGTGTGTGTGTGTGTGTGTGTGTGTGTTGTGGGGGGATGGAGAATGTGAGAATGTGAGAATGTGAGAGTGAGTTGAGTGGTTAGGGTGGGGGTGGAGCTCAGTGATTTAGCAGGTTTGAATATGATCAAAAATACAGTTTGAAATTTTCAAAGAATTAATAAAATACTACTTTTTAACCATCATGTGTATAGAAATAAGAGTATCTTACACCAAGGTGAAGTCCACAACAGCCAGCAGGAAGCAGAGCAGCAGGGAGTCATCAACTAAAGTCATCGAAGAAGTTACCACCCAGCCTGAGGATCTGAGTTCAATTCTCAGGACCCATGTGGTGGGAAGGGGGAGGGAAGCACTTCCTGCTGCTGTCATCTGACTCCCATAGGCCCTGTTATACAGCCCCCCATAAGTAAACACATACAAAACAATTTAAATAGAAAATTAGTTTTCATAATTGTATGCATATGTTTAAAAGGGTAAGTACTCTTTACTGGAGGGATGGCTCAGTGGTTAAGAGTACTGGCTACTCTTCTAGAAGACTTGGGTTGGATTCCCGGAATCTACATGGCAGCTCCTAACAGTCTGTAAGTCCAGTTCCAGGAGATCTGATGCCTTCTTTTGGCCTCTGTAGATACCACGTAATGTATACAAGTGGTACACAACATACATGTAGGCAAAACACCCATACACATAAAGTAACAAATAAATAAAGGAGCAAGTACAACTATGGAGGATGGAAGAAAAGATCTGAATAGAATTTTCAAAGTGAACCTTTAAAACACTAAAATGAAAAACCACATTGATTAGTGGCAGATTAGACTTTGCTGAGGAAAGAATGCACAGCATCAAGTGTCCTAACATGCAGGTAATCGAAATTCCTGCAGAAAAAGAGAGGAAGAAGAAAAGGTATTTGCAAAAATAAGACCTGAAAGTTTTCCAAATCTGAAGTGATAAACCCACAGATCACCGAATCCTAACAAAGCCCCAGCACATGAACATGAAGGGAAAGCAGAGGCTCTCATTACAAAATCGCATGAAAAACAGAAAAGCAGACAGAGCGAACACACAGAACCCACAAAGCAACGAAAGGACCTGGGGGTGGGTTCCTTGCACACGGAGCAAAGTAAGCAAGATGACACTAGGGTTGGGGCTGTGCTTCCTAAGAGTGGGGCTATAGCTCAGTGGCAGTCAAGGATGCAGGAAGCCTGGGGGTTGACCCTGGCCCTCTGCAACACACACACACACACACACACACACACACACACACACTAACCTTAAAAAAAAATCGGGTGTATACATATAACCTCGGCATCTGGGAGCCTGAATTAGAATGGCTGTTATGAGTTAGAGGTCATCTTGGGCTACATAGCTCCGGGCCAGTCTTGGTTACCAAGTGAGACCCTGTATCAACAAATCAAACCAAAATTCCAAAAGGAGACAGATAAAGTGGGAGGGAAAAGAAAATAAAAGATAGAAGGAACAAGAAAAATGAATATCCAAGTGAACAACTTAAACCTAATTCTGAGGATAATCTCACTCCCTGTAAGCATCTCAATTAGAAGGCAGAGGCTGGATTAAAAAAAGAAATTATATTGCCCAGAAGAAACATACTTCAAATACAAAGACACAAACAGAAAGTAAGAGTGTGGCGAGGGAGATGCCCTTTTTCCTAGTCACAGGAAAGCTGGTGTGGTCTACAGATGTCAGTGCATGTTTTGGAGGGCAGGAGCTGTGGTTCAGGTGGTAATGTGCGTGCCTAGTGTGAATGAAGCCACAGCATAACCAGGCATAATAATGCACATTTATAACCCCAGCACTTGGGAGGCAGAGGCAGGGAGGGTCAGAAAGTTAAGGTAGTCTTCAGCTACCGATGAGTTCCAGGCCAGCCAAGGAGACCCTAGGTGAGATGCTAGCATAGAACCCTCCCCCCAAAAAAACCCCACAAACCAAAACTTACATACAAAGTGGACTCTAGGACAAAGCACACTGCAGAAGTGCCCTGTTCATCAAGAGCTCATCAGAATCCTAAAGGTTGATTATGTGCTATAGCACTAATAGAACTGCCCAGAGAACTAGAGAAGCCCACAATCGGACTCTTAAGTAGCGTGTCACCCTACCCCACCCCAACAACAGTAGATATGAGGGAAAAGCCCACAAGCATGCATGCAGTAGATGTGAGTGATCTGTCACCAACTGCTCTAACTGGCATCGCAGGATGTTTCGCCCAACAGAACATGTGGCATATCCCAGCAAAAGCCTGAGTGTGGAGATCAACAAAAGCCTACAGAAGTACTTTGTGGCCACCAAAAATAGACAGAGGGGCCAAGCTTTCCAGGGGAGTGGCTGTGTCAGGCTGAGGGTGAAGCTGTAGGCTGGTGTGACTAGCTCCTTGAGGCTTAAATCTTCTGGGAGGTTTTGCAATGCCGTCCTTAGCACTGTTCTACCTGTTACCTGCCAGCACATGTCACACAGGACACTCACCTGCAGAAACTGCTCTTGCTTCCTCAGGATGCTTCGAGGATCCGGTGTTGTCTCTATGTGGAAAGGGTGGTGATCTGAAGGGTCACGAAATCACCAGAGGCCACTGTCATTGCCTGAAACCTGAATTTAAGCCTGCCCTCTTCTACCCTGTGAGGTGGCATCTGGTCCCAGCCTTGGCCTCACCTGGATCTGGTTGTCACTGTGTTGAGGGAGACTGTGCTTGGCTCTAGGCCACCACACATCCGCTGCTGTTCCAGCTTTGTAGCCTTTTCTGGCCCTTGCTGGGTTGAGGGTTTCTCCATCCGCTGCTGTGAGGCAAGAGTTGATGTTGCAGAGAGAGAGAGAGAGAGGAGGTTTCACAGCCAGCCAGGCCAGGCCGGGTCCCAGAATCAGGCAAGAGAAACATACTGGGGTTTGTATATCACACACACCACAGGTCATAAGCTCTGGGCTCCAACAGAGACCATACTGCTCAGTGTAACAGACTGGGGTGAGTAGAAGGAAAAGACCCCTCTCCATGACCCAGCTCTGGAACCAGCCATGGGCACCTCAGTGTGGATGTACCCAGGACATAAGTGGCCAAAGCATCCAATCTCTCTTCAAGTAAGTTCATGTGGCTCTGTGCTCCCCTCTAGACTGGTGATGCCTCTCCGTATCCATGGGACAGTGCTCACTTTAGAAGGACCTCAGGCTGGGTGGGATGGAAGGGACACTGGGCAGGGGTAGCACACCAGTTAAAGCCTCAGAAAGGGCAGCCCACTGACCTTCAGCTGGTGTTTGAAGAGAAGTTCATCCAGTGCCATCTGCGTCTCCCATACCTCCTGCTCTGCCCGCTGCCGCAGAAGGGCCAGTGCCTGGTCCTGCTTCTGCTGGTCCAGCTGTCGTGAGAAACCACATTCCAGGCGTCACCTGTGTCTTGCTAGCAACAGACTATAAAGATCGCCCTGGTAAATCCCATGCCTGGGCAGGGCCTGACCCCCTTAGCAACCAACTACTCTTTCTATCTGGGGCTTCCCTATCCAGGTTGAGGGACAGGGGTGGGGGCTGCTTCTAAACCCTCAGCTTTGTGTTTTGGAGCCTTCTACTCAGCCTTGGGGGCAGAGGCTGCTCACAGCTAACCTCCAAACAGAAGAAGCCTAAAGGGGGCACAGCTTCACTGGCCTAGTATCATGGAGCAGGACATACCTTCAGTGACTCGAGAAAGCTCAAAGATTTCAGCTGGAAATTGGTCAGGTGCCCTCCATGCAGGCCTCCAGAATGTGGCCCCTTGGGCTCCTGCTGACCTGCAGACCACGGAGGAGGGCACCTGAGTGGCAGGTATGCTCTGAGCCTCTCTCCTGGTTCAGCCTCAGCACTCACAGCTTCTTGGCCTGCAAGGAAACTGAGGCCAGAGGCCGAGAGGGAAGGCCCACTACACAAGGACCATGCTAGTGTCCAGCACTTCAAGAAGGCCCCTTCCCTGCAGCCCTTCATGAGAGCATGGCTGCCATGTGGCTGTATTCCCTCCCTCAAACTTAGTGTGCCTCCTCACTCTGGTCACCATTCATTCCAGAAGCAAGAATCGAGTTAGCATCGGTGACAGGAGCCACCAGACAGACCCAGGTTCCAGTCTCAGCTCCGTCCTGCACTTTCGAAATGATCCTGAACAAACCACTGGCCGACCAGAGCCTCTGGGGGAAACAGTTTCCCTGAGAGGCTCCCACAATAGCTTTACAGGGCCTGAAAGCTACGGTTGTTGCCAATGTTGCTGAGGTGAGGTGAGTATGTGCTACAGACAGGTGAGTCTAGGGTGTTCTTTTGAATTCTGGAGTGCTCCCCCTTAAGTTACAAAGTCTCCGAGGGTAGCAGAAGGGGCTTCTTTTCTTTCTGATGCCCCCCCCCCCAGGGCCAAGGCTTTGAACACTGTTGGCGTTTCCTGCCCTGTGGAGCTTCCTTCCACCAGGAGGAGCTCTGGGGAAGAGGTGAGTTTAGGGGCTGGCTGTGTCTCTCTCCTGACCCATCCTTTGCCTTATCATCGGCCTCATTTCTGCTAAGAGTTTGCTTTAAGGGAGGGCTCAGAGAATGGTTGGCTTGAACCCTCTGGCCTGGATGAGAGGACCTTCCTGATAGCCCTTGACAACTCTCAGTCACTGGCCGGTCATGATACGGGGAGGGCTATGGACAGAATCCCAGTCCTCTGCCCAAGGAGAACCATCTTCCCTGGCAGACTGCATGCCATCATGGGCAGAGAAGCTCAGCCTCTTGGAGCAGGAGCAGATGAAAATCTGTGAACAATAGCCGCACATTGACAGAAAAAGACCAGGGAGTAGCAGGGTGCATCCACAGGACATACGCGAGCACTTGAGTACTCTTGTGGGACCCCCATATAATTGGGCACAACTCGGGTTGACTGAGCTCCCGGTCATTTGCAGGAGAAGAGGCTCCACTACTACGTCCAGGCCCTTGAGGAGACTAAGGTGCCTGGACTCTGTCACCCTCTCGTTCATGCATCTGACGGGGAAGCTCCTGGTCTCCTCAGCCATGTCGGTACCCCAACAGGTCACAGGATACACGTCCCTGAGCACTGAACTGTGACCCGGAAAAAAACTAAGTCGGCTCCCAGCTGAGATCACCACATGCAGAGAATGACCCTGCCTTAATCCCTAACTCCCCTCAAAAGACAATTAGGAGCCCCCAGAATTCAGCACCACCTAAAGCCAGGACTGTGGGACCCAGTGAGGTTGCCTCACGAGGGCCTAGCAGCCACAGCGGTTGATGGTAGGAAGGATGATAACCACAAGAGTGCTTAGACTGTGGTTCCTCTGCCCCCAGGGGACCTGCTGAGCCTGAGAGTGGAGCTTTGCTTCCAGAAAAGCAGCAAAAGGCACAGCTGGTGTTTATCTTTGTACATTAGAGGAGAAATACCGGGACCCAAGTTTGACCTCAAAACCTTGTATTAGAAAAAGGAGAAAAAAACAAAACAAAACAACAACAACAAAAAACAACTTGGGCATGGTGGCACACTCATGTAATCCCAATGTTTCAGAGATGAAGAATAGCAAAACCTGGACTCACCAGACACCCAGTCTAGCCTGCGTGGCAAGTTCCAGCCAGTGAGAGACTGTCTCAAAAAACAAGGTGGGGATGTCTGAGGAATATTATCCGAGGTTGTCTTCTGGTTTGTTCTCTCTCTCTCTCTCTCTCTCTCTCTCTCTCTCTCTCTCTCTCTCTCTCCCCAAAAAATGTTACATCACAGTTCCAGGTCTTGACAGCCACACATGTCTGACAGCTACCACAATATCCCTCATCAGCAAACGTTCCACCAAGCAGGGGTGTCTAGGCGTTGAAGTCCAGAAAGTTCCACTGGACAGCGCTGCTTGTATATACTAATGGCTGGGATTGAGGGCCTCCCTCTTGTTGCTGTTCCTGAGACCTACCAACATTCTGCTCAGGGAATGGCAAATGAGGCTGAGGGATCAGACAGGGTACCCCCCTTGTAAGGAGAGGGCCAGACCCTTGGAGGAGATGGCCATCTTGTCGTGATCAGGAATTGCTCTCGACTCCCACACAACAGCAGACTGCCTAGTCAGTCTGGAGGAGGAGAGCATATAAACCCAGCAGAGGGTGGGCAGAGCCCAGGGCATTCTGGGAATCTCACTCACTGTCTGGAGTACACTTTCTGTGGAGAGATAGGGCTTTCCTCTGGTTAAATGCTCCTTCTCAAATTTATGTAGATATTTAGTAGCCACGGTAACAGGGTTAGGAAGGAAGGCTTCTAAAACAGTGAAGCCTTATCGCTAAAGTGGGAGAGCCTTACCACGAAAGCCAGGAATGGACTTATTATAAAGGGGAGGGCTGGTTTGTGAGTGTACTGCATTAGGTATTTGCTTTCAGTTCCATTTCCAGTACCCCATAAACAGGGTCTGGTGGTACATACCTGTAGTCCCATCTCTTGGGAAATAGAGGCAGGTGAATCAGAAGTTCAAGGTCATCCCTGGCTATGTAGTGGATTAAATAAAGGCCATCCTTGGATACATAATGGGTTAAATAAAGGCCATCCTTGGCTACATAATGGGTTAAATAAAAGCTATCCTTGGATACATAATGGGTTAAATAAAGGCTATTCTTGGCTACATAGTGGGTTAAATAAAGGTCATCCTTGGATACATAGTGGGTTAAATAAAGGCTATCCTTGGATACACAGTGGATTAAATAAAGGCTATCCTTGGATACATAGTAGGTTAAATAAAGGCTATCCTTGGCTACATAATGGGTTAAATAAAGGCTATCCTTGGATACATAGTGTGTTAAATAAAGGCTATCCTTGGATACATAGTGTGTTAAATAAAGGCTAACCTTGGCTACACAGTGTGTTAAATAAAGGTCATCCTTGGATACACAGTGTGTTAAATAAAGGCCATCCTTGGATACACAGTGGGTTAAATAAAGGCCATCCTTGGCTACATAGTGGATTAAATAAAGGCTACCCTGCTTCGAAAGAAAGAAATGATCACAAATGGGAGGGTCTCGCTCTGTGGCCTTCTGCTGTGTGGAGGGGTAGCAGGAGCCCCAGTCAGTGCTCTCAACTTCCCACCTTCTGAACTGTGAGCCCACACATCCCTGCTCATCATAAGTTCAAGCTGTTAGAGTAGCCCTCAGAAACAGGCTGGAGCCCCACATGATGTTAATATTGTCAACTTGGCAGGGACAAGCCTCTCAGCAAATCTGTGGGGTTTGTCCAGAGTAGGTTAACTGAGGTGAGAAGACCCACCTTGACTGTGAGTCATAACATCCCACGGGCTCAGGTTCTGGACCGAGCACCAGCATCCATTACTCTCTGCTAGCATCCATTATCTCTGCTTCCTGACTGAGGATGCTATGTGACCAGCTGCCTCCAGCTCCTGCCGCCTGGCTTTCCACTATGACAGTCTCTACCTTTGATAACCTTTCCTGCCTTGGGCTTAATTCTAGTCAGGGATTTTTGGCACAGCAACAAGGCAAGTAACTAAAAAAATCAACCAGGGCCTTTGTGGGCCGAGGATCTCCACAAATGTACTTCCTGCCCCTCTTGGCCCAGAATTCTCACCTGCCATCTCCTGGTGCCCCTAAAATGCAGATTTTCCTGGGATAGAGGCTTGAGCTCTGATCAGTGTCAGGTATGATGTCACACTCAGTCAGTGTGACACGAGTAGTAAGTCCATGGACCACTGAGGTTTTTGGTAGTCTGGGAGCCTAGGAGAGTTGGCAGCTCTTGACTGAAGCCCCCAGATGTCCTATTCTAGGGGAGAAAATCTCCTGGAGCCAGAGACCAGGAGCCTCCACCTGCTGGTTCTCTCATGGTGTAGAGCCGATAGTCACCCCTCAACACACACACACACACACACACACACACACACACACACACACACACACACACACACACACATAGTTCTCAGCGCTGACTCACATCTATCAGGTACGTCCATGGCTCAGAGCCCAATCTGGGACATTCCCTACCCACTCTGCTGGATCTACCCTGGAGGGAAAGCTGAACCTTTCTCAGGCCATAATGCCTATCCTGCAATCCCCTAGGGCTACTCTGTCTGGTTGAGGGATCTGGGCAGAGCTAAGGTTCACATTTACTCTTAATGTTTCTAAAAGCTGGGCATGATCATTTTTGTTGTTGCTGTTTGGTTTGGTTTCATTGTGCAGCACTGGGGATTGAACCCACGGCCTCATACATGCTAGGCAAGCACTTTATGCTTGAGCTATATCCCAAGCACTGTTTCCTCTGTGTGTGTGTGTGTGTGTGTGTGTGTGTGTGTGTGTGTGTGTGTGTGTGTGTGTGTTTATTTTTGTGTGTGCTTTGCTGTTATTTGTTTGTTAGGTCTCACTATGTATCCCAGGCTGGCCTGGAACTCTGTATTACCCAGGCTAGCCTTAAATTTGTGATCCTCTTCCCTTGGCCTCCTAAGTGCTGGGCTTACAGGGTATCTTACTACCATACTCAAAACCTATTTTCCGAGGGAAATAAGCAAATAGTAATGAAACAGTGAACAGAGTTCCAGGTTTGTTCAAACCTGGCACCCATGTCCTTGTCATGCTGGGCAGGAACGCTCCCACTGCAGCCTACAGACCACTAGCAGGATGCACCCTGAGGGCAGGTGGGTTCCCCCAGGGATTCTGTGGCTTCTGTGGTCAGCAAGAGAATGCCTCACACCCCTTCCAGGTGCCAGCTCTTCAGCCCTGAGTTTCCTTAGCTGAAACCTAGGAACAAAGACACTTAAGTACCAAAGACAATGTAGAACCTGGGCTGACAGACATAAGGAAGGAAAGAAGGGTGACACTCCTGGGCTGCAGGAGTGTGGCTATTCCAGAGACCAGCTATGGCATACATCATGACAGGCGCAACAGGAGCAGAGTAGGCGGTGGGGGCTGGAGAGCCTCGAAACACTTTAATACTGACATGTGGCTGCCATCACATAGAAAAAGGTCTCTACCCTGTAAGACCAAGCTCACGCTAGGCAGTGGAAGAGGCCCACAGGAGGCCCCCCTGGCCACCCGACCAGCCAGCCCAGGGCCTATCTGCAGGCTCGCCCTTACCGCAGCTCTGAGTGGTCCAGGGCGTTACCAAGCCTGAATTTTTGGCTTCCGGTATCTCCTCCTGCCAAAGGGAGCCACAGGCGGGGTCTGGTGCAGCTGGTAGCCCAAGTGAGCTAGAAGACAATGAGCATATGATGAGTGAAGTCGGGATCAGGGCGGAGAAAGGAGGAGTCCGAGGACCCTAACTCAGCAGGAATCTCTGCTCCTGTGGCCTCCAGCAGCCCTAAGACCCAGGCAGTGTGTCTAGAGACAGACCTGAGGGCTTAAGGTCTGACTCCATCAGTCAAGTAGGGTCACAATGTGTGTGTGCGTGCGTGTGTGTGTGTGTGTGTGTGTGTGTGTGTGTGTGTGTGTGTATGTGTATGTGTAGCAGCCTAGCCAGTGTGCAATGTTAGCTCCATCACCAGCAGCTCTGCAGGTGGGATCACAGCCCAGTGTGCTAATGTAGCTACCCTGTTCATCCCTGTTGGCCGATAAGAACACTATCCACAAGGCTATGTGGAATGAGGGGACACCTCACAATCCCACCTCATGGCTAGCCCTGTGGCTCTGCGCTATAGCTGTGCCTGTGAAGTAGAGCTGGGCCATCAGGGGAGTGGTATAGCTATGACTAAGGACTCTCTACTCCGCATGCTCTCCAGGCAGCTGCCGTCCCTCAGACGGGTAAGGCTATGGCCTTTACCCAGGTCACAGCAGCCACAGTGGGCAGCAAGCTGCCTGGCCCAGGTGGGCATGCAGCAGCTGCAGGGATTAGAAGGCTCTGAAGCACAGAGGATGAGTATGGAAATTAGCTGGTGTGGGCGGTGAACACAGCCTCCGCTCACTCTACCTTCTTCCCAAGGCACCATCTGTCCCTGGCACATAGAGACCTGGACTCCACCTGAACCACCAAATAGGTCACCCACACCTGTGTCCAGCAGCCCCCGGGGCCCACAGGTCTCTGTCTCAAGCCTCCTTCAGGTCAGGTGCTGTGCAGGGCTAGGATATGGTATGACCACACCCAACCCCTGCCTGGAGTAAAGTTCTTTCTGAACATATTTTAAGGCTGCAAGGCACTATGGGAACACAGACATAGAAAGAGTTTCCAGAAAGCAGGAGCAATGGGGTGAAGTTAACTGTGAAGATAGGTGGGACTAAGTCCCATGGACAGCTGGCTAGAACCCCTAGTGTCCTTAACTGTGAGAAGATGGTGACAGGCTGGCCACCCCATCACCAAGTGCTGTGGGGTTGAGGAGAGGGTCCTGCCCAGACTCAGCCTGAGTGCTGACTTCCACACAACAGGAGGTCAGGCCCTAGATGGTGCACCTGAGGGGAACAGAAGGAAGACCACAAGCCTGGAACAAGAAAGCTGACTTTGATCCTCAAAAGTAAAACGGCGGGGCCACCTGGCTGTGGCCTGCTACCTAGCGAGAACAGCAAGCCTCCCCCCTGCTCTCCCAGAACCCCCATCTTTCTGGGAAATAGAAGCTGAGAACGATTTCGGCCTCTTCTGGTCTTCCTGGCTATTGGGTTTGTTTGTACTGGTCCTGCAGAACTCTGTGACCCACACGGGGGTGCTCATCTGGGGCAGGAACACAGTGAGAAGACGGCTCAGGTGTGTCCAGCCTTCAGCCCACAGACGACATGAGCCCCAGGAGAGCTATGAACGCATCCAACACAAAAACAATGTATTCCAGCATTTAAAGAACTCTAATGGGGGTTCTTAGTGTGAGCTACATAGACGATAAAGTGGCCCAGAGACTAACAAGTTGGATACCCCTGGAGGGGAAGCCACAACCCCTGTAGCTTTGTGCCAGGAATGTCAGCATCAGGACTTTATGTGCCTGGGTCTGGGGCTTTGGGGGTCACCTTGCCTATAAGAGCCTGGGATACTGAAATTAAACCTCCAAAAATTCTGAAACAGTCCATGGAGTTGTCTCATTAGCTGAGGAAAATCTCAGCACAATGCTGCCCCCTACTGGCCATTATGAGCCAATGACAACACAGGCCTTATCATCCGGGAAACACCAACTCCATCAAGAGGTTCCTTAGAGGAGTGGGGGATTTCCTAGTGAGGAGTCAGGTGAGGCATCTGGAGGGAAGTGTCCCAGCTCCAGGAGGAGCAGTGGGTAGGGGTTGGGGAGATCACATGGCCTTTTGCTGTGGAGGGTGCACCTGACCACCTCTCCTGTGGAGGAGAGGAAGTATGAGCTTCAAGGTAAACAGACGGCGCTGAGATTTGTCATAAACACCCTCCCCCAGGGTTGGGCCAGAAGTGGAGAAGCATCCACACTTTGGCTTCCACGCCACCCCTATCTTTACCATGGCCTCCTTCACAGTCTGGTCCCCCTGCTCTGAGTTTGTGGCATCTGCCCTCAGCCCTGACCGTACCCAGCCTCTTCTTGTATGAGAGGGGCTATCCTCTAAGATAACTAACCAGCTGCCCAGTGGAAGACAGCTGAGGCTGTGGTTAGCAGTATAACACCGCCTCTGTGCCTGGGGACCAAGCTGAGGTCAGAGGTCATTCTGGTGAACTCTGTCAAGCACAGACTCAGGGCCAGCCGAGGCCCTGTAGCAGGGGCCTCCCAGCCTCCTCCAGAATGGGTACCCTCTTTTCTGACCAGAACTCCACAGAGAGGCTGTACAGGCTGGAGTTCCTTGCCTCGGGTGCTGCAGTGTGAGGACAGCCAGGTGAGAAGGATGTGTGTTGGTCCCTCTGGTGGGTGGCACATGGCACAGAGAAGGAGGAGGCATGGGGGTTGTTGGGGACCACAGAGCTTCTAATGCTGGAGGAGGCCTTGGATAAGGCCCAGGTGAGAGAACAGAAGGCAGGGGAGGGGAGGGGGGGCGCGTTTTGGGAGGCAGAGGAAGTTTTCAGGAGGGTTGACCAAACATACTTCCAAGTTCTGGAAAGGACAGAAACCACAGCTGCACACAGAGGAAGCCATTAGCTTTCTGGTGGGCAATTGCTGAGGGTCAGTTGCAGAGTTCCCAGGACAAAAGCCTCCTGGGCCATGCCCAACCTTGGATTCAATGGAAGCTACTAAGGGCTGAGCGTGGTGGGGCAGAATGGGCCCTTCTACACACAGGGAGGAAACAGGATGAGATGGGTGTGAGGGTCATGAACACTACAGAAGGGACATCATAAGCTCCTGTGTGGACTGCACTTGAGAAAAGACGGAGGCCGGGGAGGGCTGGGGACAAAGGCCAGAAGAAGGGACGGGTAAGTGCTGAGAACTCCTGGGACAGTGAACCCAGACAGGCTAATGAACCTTGTGTCAAAGTCCTCAGACACACAAACTGTGTCACTTTCCTCCCGGCCCGATGCACCCAGACTCCCGGCTGTGGGCCCTGGGCTAACACGAGGACCCCGGCAGGGGATGTGAGAGGCAGAGCCGCAGCACAGCAAACTGGCCTCACCTCCTCATGCAGGCGCCGAGCGTCTGGAGGGTGGCCATCTCTCTCTGCAGCTTCTTCTCTAGTTCCCGGTGTCTCTCCTCTATGACACCTTTGGAAAGGGCCCCGTGACTTGATGAGCCAGCCGGGCAAGGCTGAGTGTGAGGGGTGACCTGAGACACTGAGGCGGGGGTGCTGGATACCGGACCTGCGGAGCATGGAAGCCTTGCTGGCCTTCCTGCCCCTTGGGAAGGTAGGGCAGACAGGCAGCAGGCTTTGGGAAGAACCTCACCCTTCCCCCAACATGGGATGAGACAACTATGGCCTGTGCCATATATTACTCAGGGAGCATCAGTTATTGTTACTACTCTCGCGGTCTGGACAACTCCCATCCTGCTCCCCAGACAGGAAATGTGGGGCCCTGTTGCTCCCAGCCCAAGGATCACCCAACAGGCATGACACCCACTGCCCAGTCCCACCTTGGAGCTGGTTCTCACCGTGGACCCCCAGGTTCAAGCTCTGCGGCTCCCAGCTGGGACTCCAGGGCAGCATCTCACCATCCTGGAAGTAGGTGCTGGGGAGAAGGGGCTTGGCCTGCAGGTCCACCCAGTCCTGGGGGGTTCCTATGCTCCCGTCAGACACTAAGCTTCTGAGGTAAGAGGGAGGGGTGAGAGTGGGGGTGACAGGTGCTGTGCTGGGACCCAAGGGCAGCATGTCCGGAGCCAGGTCACCAGCTGTGTCCGGGAATGTCGACTTGTGCAGCTTGGTGGTTAGGATGTCAATACGCTGCTTGAGGACATCGGCCATGGTCTCCAGGGCCTGCAGCCGGGCCTGCTTGTACTGGAAGTGCAGGAGGCCCGATGGGCCCGGGCGCTCAGTGTCCTGGGGATCCAGGTAGATGCAGAATCCCCCGGGTGGGTCCTGGAGCTTCACGGGGCCAGGGGAGGAAGCAGTTGAGGGTAGCAGAGGGACACCACTCATGCCTTCTGGGGGGTGTCCAATGTCCTGGGTGTCAGCACGGTTCCATGGTTTGTTCAAACACAGACAGAAACTGCAGGGACAGAAGAGTGGTTGGACACTCAGCCTGGGCAACATGGTGTTGAACAGTGTGTGCAAAATGCATGTGTGTGTGTGAAGCAAGGAGAGACAATGAGGGCATCTGGGATAGAGTCAGGGTTCACCACAGACCAGAGGTCAAGGCTAGGACATCACATATCAGACCACATGTGGCTCAACAGGACGAGGACCAAATGTGGGTGAGGTATAGAGACACATGCTGGCAGGAATGTCAGATGCCGGAGTCCCTGGGAAACAGTCTGGTGAGTCTTCACGTAGCAAACACCAACTTAACACAATCGCCAGCAAGTGTACTTCTGGGTAAAAGCATCAGAGGCAGGGGTGTGAACAGATGTCTGCACACCATGCTCACAGCAGCAACGCTCCCAACAGACAAGACAAAACAACAAACAAACAAACAAACAAACGAGGTCCAATGACAGATGACGGATCGGCAACAAGATGCCCATCCACACAATGGGATGCTCTTCACTTTAAGCAAGAAGAGAGAATGGTCCCTGCTACACCAGGGATGAGCCTCAGAGACATCAAGCTGAGCGGCATTGGTCACAAAAAGACAAGTCTGACAGGATTCCACATCTCTGAGTTCACCTAGGCCATCAGCTCCAGAGAGACAGAGGATGCCAGGGACTGTCAGGGGCTTCAGGGTTGGTGTTAATGGGGACAGAGGATCCATTTGGGAAGAGGAGAACGTTCTGAGGATGGATGGTGGTGATGACTACATAGGAATACAAATTGATGTGCACTGTTCTTTTGGCTGTGCACCTAAAAACATTAAGCCAGGCATGGTGGTGTATGTCTGCAACCTCAGCACTCTGAGGGGCTGAAGTAGGAGGACTGTGAATTTAAAACTGTACAGTGAGACCCTCACCTAAAAAGCAGAACAAATGCTGGTGTGATGTTGCATGCCCTTAGTGCCTCCCAGCATTTGGGAAGCAGAGGCAGGAGTATCTCTATGAGCTCTAGACAAGCCAGCCAGATCTACACAATGAGACCCTGTCTCCAAAAACAAATAACAATAATAAAAGAAAAAAGTTAATCAAAACAAACAAAAAAGAAGTTAGGTGGCGGCACAGGCCTGAAAAACAAACAAACAAACAAACAGTTTCTTAGGAGGCTGAGGCAGGAAGATCCTAAGTTTAACCTGCTGGGCAACTTAATAAGACCCTATCTCAAAATCAAAGGCTGCTTCGGTTTGTTGGTTGTTGTTGTTTTAAAGGCTGGGAGGGGGTAAATACCTTTAATTCCAGCACGCAGGAGACAGAGGCAGGTGGATCTTTGTGAGTTTGAGGCCAGCCAAGGCATAGTAAGTCCCTGCCATAAGCAAATACATAAAAAAAAGCTAGGGGTGTAGCTCAGGGGCAGACGGCTGGCCTAGCGGTGTAAAGCTCTGGGTTCAATTCCCAACACAGAAGACGAGAGGAGAGTTGTGGGACACAGTGGAAAGAAGCGGATCAACTGGGCTATAGTTGAAGTTATTCTAACCGCCCTTAATAATAAATAACATACTGTAAAACACCAAACGTTTATAAGAAAGGATGCCGAATATGTTTTATCATACAGAAATGATAAATGTTTGGAGATGGATGCATTTAACCTAATTTAAATATCACGCAATGTGTGCATGTATCAAAATACCACATGTACCCCATTCATCCATATGTACAATTTTTATGTTTTTATGTATCAGTTAAGCATAAACTTAAAACAAAATCCAGATGGATTGAGGATTTAAAAAATGGTTATCGTTGTAAATGTTACGCTATGTATATTTTAGCATAGTTTTAAAAAGCGGGAATGAAAAAGGGCCAGGATGCAGTAAAGAGAGGCAGTGACGGGGAACCCTCTCTAACGCTGGGGGAAGCTGGAGGAGCCATGCAGGCTGCTGAACTGTCCTTGGGTGTGGTACCTGGTTGGACCTGAGTCCTCCTCTGTTTGGAGCTAGAGACTACTTTAGAAGTTCACAGATCCAGGCACCTAGGCTGCCCTTCAGACATGTTATCTCAGGATACAGTCAGGGAAAGACAGAAGAAAGGAGGGAGTTGGGGAGAGGAGTCAAGAGGAGGAGAAAGAAGACGAGGAGTGTCCATCCCACCTGACTAAAGGTAAATACAGAGGGGTAGGAGCAGGCACCAAGGAGGTCAGCTCCAAGTTCCTCCCAACACTAACGCCAAAAACATACCCACGAATGTGCCTAGTGAGCCTAGGGCAGGACGTTTCCGGAAGAAACCTCCTCATTGGCACAAGGAGCTGCCAATCACTTGTGCCTCCTCCTCCTCCTCCTCCTCCTCACCTTCCTGTGCTGGCCATGAGTACCCCTTAGTAGGTGGCCAGAATGAAGCCAGGCCAGGGGGTGGCTGGCAAGATCCAGAGGAGGAGGAGGGAAAGAGCTGTCCTGTTTTGGTGGTGAGGGGAGGGAAGGAGAGGGAAGAGGGGAGGGAAGGAGGAAGGCAAGAAGGGAGGAATCAGTTCCCACACATTGCTGGTGGAGATGGAAGGTGCTGAAGCCGCTGTGGCAAACAGCTTGCAAGTTCCTCAAAGAACTCCAGAGAGAAACACAGTGTGCACAAACCCCACAGATTCCCTGGAGTGGGCTCTGGGCTCCCGTTTCTGGGCCGTGTGTTCCCAGCCTGCTGTGATGGGTGCATGTGGGGCACTTGGGACAGGAGGTAATGGATTAGGAGCTAGACACTCAGGTGAAATCCTCTCCCAGGAACTCGGTGCCAATCATAACCGCAAATGCTGAAATCTTGAAAGAGTAAATTCCTCCAAGTCTAAAGTCCTGATCCTGAAATATTAAAATTCTGAATGTTGAAACCCAAACCCCAGAAGCTCATGTCCTGAAATCCTCAGTTCCCAGGGGGGAAAGCCTGCAAGAGAGGGTAGCAAGTTGGGCATTGTGGCTAGGATCCATCTCTCTGTATGGCCTCGGTTCCTGCATCCCGAAGAATGCCTAGAATCCTGGGGACATATTTGTGCCTGCAAAGGGTTCTCCAAAGACCAGTACTGGGGAGACCATTAAAGGAAATGAATGGGAACATGGTCTCTAAGAAGTGAGGCCCTAATAGAAAAACAGCAGCTTCCCACCATGACTCAAGACTTCCAAACACAGTCCAAGGATAGGATGGGATCATCTCTCAGAGATGGCCCATATACACTGTCCACAGTCCACCCATGCCTCAGTCCTCAGTCACAACCCCTTCGGATCTTGCTTTATTTTAGTCTATTTTTTGGTTCTTTGCCCACATTTGACTTGTCAGTGGTGTCTTTCATTTGCTCTTTATCTTCACTCACATCCTCACAGGCCTGGAGGTGTAAATCCCGTGAAGACTTCTAGAGAGTTCTAATAATCACTTTTTGGCACTTTGGCCAGTGTGGCTCGGGAAAGATCACTCTCACACACTGACTTTAGGTGCGCGAAATGTGCGCCCAGGAAACACTGCTGCCCCCTTGGCCCACGACATGTCCTTTCCAGATGCCCGCTTTGGTCAAAGATTAAGTTGTTGGAACCCACTCTTTGGGTGGCATCTCTCCTCGGAGGACAGCTTATCCCTTACCCACACGACTAAGGTGAGAAAGCTGGGTGCCCAACCGCAGAGATGGTGCCGTCTCCTCCCGAGCGTGGTCTGTCTGCGCAGAACTGCCATGCAGTCACCGGGAGGGCCCTGAGTAACGCTGACACAGGTACCTATGTTCTGCTTCTCTATTTTATGGATATAGTGGCCTCTGAAGTGTTCTACTATGTTTCTGTCTCTCAAGTAAATCTCCCTTTGAAATGTCAGTAGGTCCCTTAAAGAATTTAATTTTTTGTGTGTCTCCAGAATTTAAATCTTTCATGGCTGTACTTTTCAATGTTAGACATTTGTTTTCCTTTGGGGATTTCAGCATTTAGGGTTGTGCTGTTCTGGACTGTTGTACGGCACAAAGCCCAGGGCTATCCTCAGGAGAAATAAAGGCAGAAGTTCAAACGAGTGTGTGCACACCCATGACCCCAGTAGCGTTGTTTTGAGTAGTTGAAAGTGAGAACCACCTGAGTTCACAAGCAACGGATAAAGGAAATGTGGAGAGACCCTGGTGTACTGGCAGGTCACAAAAGGAGAAGCCTTGTCTACGGCTTTCCAACAGGGAGCAGACGGAAGGACACTCAGTGAGAGACCCCATCTCAGGACACCACTGACGGGAAGTGTCAGAAGCTGCCTTCTGAGGGCTGGAGATCAGAGGAGGAGGGGGGAGGGGAGGGGAGTATAGGTGGGGTGAGGGGAGCAAGGGTGGGGTGGGGAGAGTATGGGTAGGGTGAGGGGAGTAGGGATGAGGTGAGGGGAGTAGGGGTGAAGTGAGGGGAGTAGGGGTGGGGTGAGGGGAGGAGAATAGGGGTGCGGTGAGGGGAGCAGGGACGGGGGTGGGGAGAGTATGGGTGAGGTGAGGGGAGCAGGGACGGGGTGGGGAGAGAATGGGTGGGATGGGGGAGTAGGGCTGCTGTGGCAGCTTAGTGTGGATCTCCTATAGGGATGCCGGAGGCAGAGGGGACATTTGCACACCACCATGCTCCCATCCTGTGCCTTTAAAACAGGATGGGAGGGAGCAGGCAGTATACCTAAGTGGGTAAAGGCTCTTGCCACATAAGCGTGGCAGCCTGAGTTCAATCCTTAGAACCCATGTGAAGGTGGCAGGAGAGAGCCACCTCCACCAAGTTAACCTCTGACCTCCACAGGCATACTATACGGCATGCTCCCCACCTCCATACACACAATAATAACTAAATACATTTATATATTAAAAATAGGTTCTTCTGGCCAGCACTCAGAGGCAGAGGCAGATGGTTCTCTGTGAGTTAGAGGCCAGCCTGGTCTACAGAGGGAGTTTCAGGACAGCCAGGGAAACCCTATCTTGGGGGGAAAAAAAAAGGAAGAAAGGAAGGAAGGAAGAAAGAAATAAGCATTTAAAAAAAAGGGGGGCTGGAGAGATGGCTCAGTGGTTAAGAGCACTGGCTGCTCTTCCAAAGGACCTGGGTTCAATTCCCAGCACCCACAAGGCAGCTCACAACTGTCTGTAACTCCAGTTCTAGGATCTGACATCCTTACACATGTATACATGTGGGCAAAACACCAATGCACATAAAAAATGAATAAATAAAATGAAAAAAATTGAAAAAAAAAGGTTCCAGCACTTGGGAGGCAGAGTGAGGCAGATCTCTGTACGTTCAATGCCAGTCTGGTCAGGACAATCAGAGCTGTTACACAGAGAAACCCTGTCTTGAAAAACAAACAAGCCGGGTGGTGGTGGCGCACACCTTTAACCCCAGCACTCGGGAGGCAGAGGCAGGTGGATCTCTGTGAGTTCGAGGCCAGCCTGGTCTACAAAGTGAGTTCCAGGAAAGGCGTAAAAACTACACAGAGAAACACAGTCTCGAAAAACCAAAAAAAAAAAAAAAAAAAAGAAAAGAAAAAGAAAAACAACCAAACAAACAAAAGGTTGTTCTGGAGAGAGAGCTTAGTCAGTAATATGTCTCCCAGATAAGCATGGATTTAATCTCTCAGAATCCACATTTTTTAAATCCAGATGTGGTGGTACATTGATTATTATCCCAATGCTAGAAAGGCAGAGGCAGGAGAATTCTTGGAGCTCACTGGCCAACCAGCCTACCCTAATCAGCAAGGCGCAGGTACCAGGGAGAGACCCTGTCTCAAATACCCAAGGTGGATATCTCCTGAGAACCAATATCTGAGGTCAACCTCTGGCCTACACACACGCACATACACATATAAACATGTGAAACTGTATACACACAAAGTACATTTACATGCCTGCACACACATATACACAAATGAATCATTTATATTCACAGTGACTTTCTCACCTCAGCAAAACACAGTAGTGTCTCTGCTCTATAAAGCACTGGGGTTGCCATGGCCAGCAGAAGGAGCCACACTGTCCCCAAGGAGCCACACTGTCATGAGCGATGTCCAGAGCATCCCCCCAGAGTTCATCCTCCACCCCCCACCCCACCACCCCCACACCCACACACACACCTCCACCCCCGCCGCTCCACTCTGAGATCCCTGTATTTTTGCCTGGGAAGAGCATCTCTGCCCTCCCCACCCACCTGTCTGGAGCCTCTCTGTCCCCAAGCACCATGCCAGATGTCACCTTGCTCCACTTCCTCAGTGGTGACCCCAGACTCCCGGGGCCTTCCAGGCCCTAAAGCAGAGAGGACACATTAAGACCCAGAGCCTGATTTCAGTTCAGAGTTTGGGCTCCAGCCCCTACCCAGGACTTCAGCCCAGGCTCTCAGAGCATTTCAAAGAACTAGGGGTGAAGAGGCAAATAGGTCCCTCCAGCCTCGTCTACCTATGGAGACAGTGTGCAGGAACTCCCCCAAACAACCAAACAGGAACCAAGGTCAGCTAGAAATATTCCCCAACATTGCCACCACCCCAGCCAGGAACAAAGGTGTCCCACACCTAACCCCTTCTCCCTGGCATGGTCTCTGTCCCAGGTAAATGCCTGCAAGCTGCCGAGAGCCAATGCCATCTCACCCCCCTGGGCCCAGGGGCACCCAGCCACCCACCTGTTGGTGGGCAGTAGGCAGGCAGGGGTAGCAAAGAACCTCAGTCTCAAAGGCTTGGCTAACCCCCTTGTCACCCACCCAGCACATACCCCAGACTGTACGGTGCTGGGAACAAAGGTGACGATGCCAGGGCTCCTCTGGGAGACCACAGGGATGGCCTTGCCAAGGATGGCCTCTCTCTGCTTCCGATACACCTCCTGCAGCCTCTGGTTCCGCAGCTCCAGCGCGTGTGCAGCCGAGGCCTTCTGCTCCATGGCCTGCTGCCGACGGGCCCGGGCCTTCTGACGCATGAAGTCACGCAAGGACTCAGAGCTACGTGGCTGGCCCAGAGACCGCAGCGGCCTCGGGCAGGGTGGGCTCTCCCGTGTGTCCTGCTCCCTTGCTGGTTTGCTCGGAGGGAAGCCCTGGGCAGTCTCTGGCCAAGCCAGTTTGACTTCTGAGAGAGGAGGGACAATACATTCGCCCTTGCTGTGGAGACTGGATCTCTGCACGGGAGAACTACTCCACGGCTGCTGGAGAGCGGGGTGTGGCCTAGCCACAGAGCTCCACGGACTGGACCCAGGCACCTCCCAGTCTTTGCAAGCTGTGTGAGTCCTCTGTGAACAAGCCTGGCCAGCCAGAGCACTCCAGGGGCGCTGTGAGAAGGGGCTTGGCTTTTTAATAGGGCTCCCGGACCTCTGGAAGGAGGTATCCTGTCCCTGAGCTTCCCAGGCCCTCTGCGGGCAGGTCTGCCAAGTCAGGGCACTCCAGGGCCGCTGTGAGAAGGGAATTGGCTTTTCTGGGGTGCTTCCAGGCCCCTGGAAGGAGGTGTCTTGCCCCTGTGCTGTCCAGGCCCTCTGTGGACAAGACTCCTGCTCAGCCACTGCTTCCTTGTGTTGCTGGCCGTGCAAATTTCTAGCCCTATCCAAGGAAGAGCACGTCCCTTCTGTCGCAGCCCAAGCACTCTTTGAGAAGGAGCCCTGCATGTCCCGGGTGCTCTGGGGCCCCTGCTGCCTCTTCCCTGCCGGGTTCTGTGGCTTTGATGACAAGAGCTTCCTCGGCCGCCTGGCAAGCTCCAGACCAGCCTGGATTTGCCGGCGCAAGTCTTGGAGGATCTCCATGGCGCCTTGAATAGTTGCGGACTGATCATGGATAGCCAGGCTGGGTGTGTGCTCAGAAACCTGCTGGTCACGGTGGGCACGGGTAGGCTTAGGCAACCAGGTGTGGGCAGGTGAGTCCCCAACAGCTCCTGCTTTCTTGCCAGAGCCTGCAAAGACAGGCAATGAAGGAGTGTTGGGGTCTGTGGGCTGGAGTAAAGAACAGACCTGCTCCTCCATTCAGGGGGCATCATGGGGTGACCAAGGAGGCCCGGGCTTGGCCCTACACATTCCCTCTCGGCCTCAGCCCTCGTGATCAGCACACGAGAAGGGCAGGGGCTGCTTTTGAGTGAACAACCTGCTCCACGTGTGTTGATGGGGTACACATGGAGAGGTGGCAGGGGTCTGCTCCGGGAGTGGCCACTCCCTTCATCTGCTCTCTTCACAAAAGCCCAAGGAGTACCTCTGTTCCCAAAGCTGAGAAGAACCTTCCCTTCAGGCTTGTAAAAGTAACTATCCCCGAATTTCCATCTCTGAGGGAAATGTCAAGAGGCTACTGCCCTCCCGGGCAGCACAGGAATCTCCCCTGTGCCCACCCAACAATGCCACAGCAAAACACACCAGGCTGAGGCTGAGGCATGAGGTACCTAATTCCACGGCAGGGGCCTTGCTCTGGAGCCGGGAGAGGGCAGGAGGGGGCCCAAGCAGCCGCCTCACCAGGGCTTGTCCTTTCCTCCAGGCGTACACACCAGTCAACTCAGAATCTTAAACAGAAAACACACAGCCGGACCGCGGCCCTCAGACCCCTGGCAAGGATTCATACCACTTCTGGAGACAATTTGGCACACCTGGCAAGGGCTCACAGGGAAACCCCTCACATCCAAACCCCTGTGGGAACAAAGCCAGATGTTTAGTCACGAGCCAGCCTGCGTGAGGTGCTTCTCAGAGTGACTGATGGTGAACCCCCAGGATCCTGCTCAGTAGAGAGGGTAATAACTCTCCGCCAACAGCTCTACCTGCGAGCCACTCGACACCAGCCCAGGCACACAGCCCGGTCAGCCAGGAACAAATGCAAGGCCGCAGCCTCAGATGAGACCTGCAGCTGGCCACTCAGCCAGGGGCTCAGGCCAGGGCCACAACAGCAGCAATGCCGTGGCCACATACCTTAGCTGAGAGACTGATACGCTCTGAAGCTGGTCAGAGTCACAGCAGTGGGACCAGGATCAGAGATGGCTTTAGGCCTCCTTAATGGTACAGGAATAAATGACCAGCACAGCTGAGCTTCCCTTACCAGACACTGTCCTATGATAAACAGGATTATTCAAGGTTTTACTTCATAACCTCAGATCGCATCTGCCAATGCCAACACTGACTGGCCATCACGACAACCCCAGTCACAGGGCCCCACAGAAACAGGAAGCAGGCCTTTCACCCACACCCATACACCTACTCCCTCGTGCTCACAAGGCTCATTCTTACACACTCACAAGTTATAGCGCTGTTTCACACAGACTCGCATACACTCAGGTTCACATACTCTGTAGAAGCCTGTTTAAGAAAACTGTGAACTTGCTGTAAACTATGGATGTGGCAGACCACAGAATGTTCTTCCTTGCCTTTAATCCCAGCGCTCGGGAGGCAGAGGCAGGTGGATCTCTGAGAGTTTGAGTCCAGCCTGGTCTACAGAGTGAGTTCCAAGACAGCTAGGGCTGTTACACAGAGAAACCCTGTCTCAAAAAAACAAACAAACAAACAAACAAACAAACAAACAAAAAAACCCAGAATAAAAAAACCACAGACAAGCAAAACAACAACAACAAAAGAATGTCCTTTCTACAGAGATAATGTGGACATGCCAGGGTACTCCCATCATGCCCCTGCTTTCAAGTACATTCACTTATCATAGTTTACGCAATTCTTTCTAGAAGGCCACCTTGTGGGACAAACATTCCACACTCTGCCCCATCACAGTAAGGTCACAGTTTTCTTATACAGGCTGCCACAATGCTCACACACAGAGTCATAATCCACATGTTTACATGCTTACACACACTCACACAGATTCACAGTTCACATATATCCACATACTCACCTGTCCACATGCTCAACTAAGGCTCACATGCATTCATATATGCTCATTCACGTTAGCATACATGCTTACATATTCACGTAGGCTCACAAATGTGCACTCACTCATTCACATACATGATCACACACTCAAATACACAAGTAACCATATATGCATGCTTTGTACACTCCTATGTGTGCAATGCACATCTACACACAGGCTCTCACACACACATGCTCACAGACACAGACATACTACTGTGGGTCCAGCCAGCTCTGAAAAATTCAGGTCACACCTGGTGTGCACCCGACTACTGCACCCACGCTTCTGCTCAAGGGACACTATCTGAGGCTTGAGAGCACACCTCCATGTGGACTCAGCAAGACCTTGCCCTGTTTCCTAAGGGTAGCACATCACAGCTCGGACTATCCAGAGCACTGACCCCTGAGGGCAGTCGCCCTGAGCTAAGTCCTTCTCCACACTCCTCCCTCCACTGACCTGACAGTTGTGATTTAAATTAGCAGTCTTCCACAGTTTAGAAACTATGGAATTGGGGACTGGGGAGATGGCTCTGCAGAAAAGAGCTCTGGCCGCTCTTCCAGAGTCCTGGCTTTGATCCCAGCACCCACATGGCAGCTCACTAATTACAGTCCTCAAGAAGCTGACACTCTCTTCTGGCCTTCTCAGGCACCAACCAGGCATCCAGGTGGTGCACAGACGTACACGTAAGCAGAATACCCATACACATAAAATTTAAAAATAGTATTTCTAAAATTTAAAAACATCTAGAAAAGTAGTTAAATCATGATAGTTGTAAAATATTCACCTATCCAGGCCAAAGAAAAACAAAGCCCTATATTACACAGACTGAGGGATCTCTTCAGACCGAAAGAACTCTGCTGAGATGAACTGTTCCGAGCCACTCAATTCTCCAGGCCTGAAACTACCTTTCCTGGGCAGAGGATGGGCTGCACCTAGCCACACCCTCCATGGGGACAAGGCTTCCAGGCCATGCTTTTTCTAGGCCCCAGCTTCTTAAACCGTAGGTCTTGATCCTATATGGGGTTGCATACTCCCAGACACAGACATACCACTCTTGATCCAGCCAGCTCTGCAAAACTGAAAATGTGGGGGTAGAAAAAAATGGCAACGGTAAAAGGTTTCTAAACACACAGCATCTGTGGTCATTCGAATGCAACTGATCCCTATAAGATCATAGGGAGGGGCACTATTCAGAGGTGTGGCTTTGTTGGAGTAGGTGTGGCCTTGTTGGAGGAAGTGCGTCACTGTGGGGGTGGGTGTTGTGGAATATTATAAAGATGTGTTACATTTGTTTATGCTGTGGAACATTCGTTTTAATGATGCAAACATGTGCTGCATTCTTTTATGTTGCATTTGTTTATCTCTGTGAAGCTGTGTTACTTTGATTGTCTAAAATACCTGATTGGGCCGGGCGGTGGTGGCGCACGCCTTTAATCCCAGCACTCGGGAGGCAGAGCCGGGCGGATCTCTGTGAGTTCGAGGCCAGCCTGGGCTACCAAGTGAGTTCCAGGAAAGGCGCAAAGCTACACAGAGAAACCCTGTCTCGAAAAACAAAAAACAAAAAACAAAAAACAAAAAAAAAAAAAAAAACCTGATTGGTCTAATAAAGAGCTGAATGGCCAATAGCTTGGCAGGGAAGACTGGGTGGGGCTAGTAGGCAGAGAGAATAAATGGGAGGAGAAATCTAGGAGCAAGAGAAGGATTGAGAAAAGATGGGGCCAGCCACCCAGACACACAGCCAGACACAGAATAAGAAGGGAAGAAAAGATACACAGAAACAGAGAAAGGTAAAAGTCTAGAGGCAAAAGAAGAGAGGATAATTTAAGAAAAGCTGGCTAGAAACAAGCCAAGCTAAGCTGGGTGGTAGGCCCCTCAAAAACAACCAACAACAGGTGGGCTTTGAGTTTTCCTATGCTCAAGCCATGCACAGTGTGACAGTTCACTTCCTGTTGAGTGCAGATCAAGATGTAGAAATCTGAGCTCCTTCCCCAGCTCCATGTCTGCTACATGCTACCGTGTCCCACCATGATGATAATGGACTAAACCTTTGAAACTGTAAGCCACCCCAATTAAATATTTTCCTTTATAAGAGTTGCTGTAAGACGGGCAGTGGTGGCGCACACCTTTAATCCCAGCACTTGGGAGGCAGAGGCAGGCGGATCTCTGTGAGTTCGAGGCCAGCCTGGGCTACAGAGTGAGATCCAGGACAGGCACGGAGAAACCCTGTCTCAAAGAAAAAAAGAGTTGGTGTCTCTTCACAGCACAGAAACTCTAAGACAGAAGTTGGTACCAGGGACTGGGGTATTGCTGTGATAGCTTTCGATTGCTGACCATGGTTTTGTTTGAATGAATATGGATCTTGGGACTGTGGATTAGAAAAACAGTGCAGTGTTTTAAGTACTGCTTAATGGGCCATCCTAGAAGGAGCATGGAAGACAGTGGTGCTCAGTGTGATTTGATGAACTGTGGGGGTCTGGCTCAAGAGGTTTCAGAGGGGAAGAATTTTAGTATGTTGCCTAGAGATCATTCTTGCAATATCTTTTTTTTTTTTTTTTTTTTTTTTTTTTTTGGTTTTTCGAGACAGGGTTTCTCTGTGTAGCTTTGCGCCTTTCCTGGAACTCGCTTTGGAGACCAGGCTGGCCTCGAACTCACAGAGATCCGCCTGGCTCTGCCTCCCGAGTGCTGGGATTAAAGGCGTGCGCCACCACCGCCCGGCGCATTCTTGCAATATCTTATAAGGCTCATATTCACAAGGCTCATTCTTACACACTCACAAGCTGTAACGCTTAGGTTCACACAGACTCACATACACTCACAGGTTCACATGCTCTGTGGAAGCCTGTGTTAAAAAGCTGTGAACTTGGGCTGGAGAGATGGCTCAGAGGTTAAGAGCACTGACTGCTCTTCCAGAGGTCCTGAGTTCAATTCCCAGCAACCACATGGTGGCTCACAACCACCTAATGAGATCTGGCTCCCTCTTCTGGTCATACATGCTGTATACATAATAAATAAATAAAT